TTTAAAATTCTCTCCCTGAAATATACATTTCATCTAAATAGAGCTTAACGGTGAAGAGAGTAAATGTTTTAATCATTGGCTAGGAGACTTCCTGCTCAGAGCAAACAGTACCTATCTCCAGACTACTTAAAATGGAGATACACTGTTTAGTTTTCCATTTAATCTGTTTGGATAAAAGACAATACTTTGATCCTTATTTTGGTGATAAATCAATAAGAAAAATACCCATTGTCTTGGGATCACCTGATGATGACTGCACCGACACATGTGTGTTGGCAACAATACAGAAATGCCTTTTTCAGATTATTTAAGTTTCCAAGTTTAGTTCATGGCATGGACTTTCTTGTTTTTTCCCCTTACTAATCAGATGTGATTTAATTTATTAACTGTAATTGTATTTACATAGTACTGGCTGTGATTCAATTTATTAACTGTAACTTTATTTGCATAATACTAGAAAGAATGACAAATGGCAGTCTTCAGCATGGCTGCGATATTTCCCTTTTCTTTCCCCTTTTGTTCATTTCTGATGAAGTATTTCTTTTATTTTTCCTTTGTATGCTTATTAGTGAAGACCTGTCTTTCCACCCAAGTCCTTGGCAGGGGAGAGTGAGACATTGTATCATGCCTTGTTTTCTTTTAACTATTTTAACTATTTTTATCCTTTATTGATTTTATTGTAATTTTCTTTATTGATTGTTGTGAGCTACCCAGAGTCATTGTCGGTTGGTGTACAAATTATTATTTGTCCACTAGTTTTGCAACAAATGTGATCACTGTTGGCTTGGAAGTACAGATAAAAAATTACTAGTGTTTTATTATTTATTATTTATTTTAGCCTTGTTCTCTCATCCTCTCCTTCACTGGAATATGTGTGTGTGTGTGTGTGTGTGTGTTAGCCAGGTTTTTCCTACGTAACCAAGGTTTTTCTGCAGCCCTAGCTCAGTGGAGTTGGTTGCAGAAAAATCTTGGTTACGTAGGAAAAACCTGGCTAAAAGAAAAACACACATAAATCCTACGAAGAGTAAGAATATATATATATATTTGTTTTCTGAGGTTTTCGCGGGTATTTGTATGTAGGTCTTTGGTTATTCGGGTTTTCTCCTGCGTAAAATTTGAAGTGTCTTGGTGACGTTTCGACGAAGTCTCATTCGTCATCTTCAGGCTGGTGTTTTCGGCCACAAACCAGAAGCCAGACCACAGCTGCATCATTAGCCACTTTAAATCCCTCCAATCCATACATGAAGCAAACTGACACCCACCATGAAGATGTGGCACGACCACGAACGTGAAGCCAAACAACAGCAATGCAGCTCACCAGTTCAAATCCCCCTGCAACTCAGACTAACACGAGCACAACCAAGCCCCCACCTAAACAGAACACCCCCCCAGCCAATCAGAGCACAGCCAAACCCCCAAACAATCAGAACACACCTCCACCCAATCAGAACACAGCCAAGCTCCCACCCAATCAGTTCACACCTCCACTAGCAGTTAAAAGGAAGAAACACCTGCGATCTCACATTGCTCCTAGAAGCACGAAGCTGAAAACACCAGCCTGAAGATGACGAATGAGACTTCATCGAAACGTCGCCAAGACACTTCCAATTTTACGCGGGAGAAAACCCAAATAACCAAAGACCTACATATATACATATATATATGGTTTTGGCCATGCTTCCCTCTTTTATTGTGTTTCTGATATTCATAGTTATTTTTTGGAACGTGCCTTTGTGCAACATGGGTGCGGAGGAACTCTCTTAAACATTTATTTTATTTCATCCATGATTCAATTACACAATTTCCTATGAGATTCAGCAGAAGCATTTACTGAGATCATATTCTTTATACTGCATATAGAAAGAAGCAACAGGTAGTTAAGTTAAATTGTTAGGTCTCTATGCTAGGTAATCATTTTCTGTGTGATACAGATCTCTCTCTCTCTCTCTCTCTCTCTCTCTCTCTCTCTCTCTCTCTCTTTTACTGAATAACAACTTTATAAGCATCATGTGTAACCTTATTTTGAAGGAAAGGTAAGAAATCCAATAAATAATTCACGTTTAGATTTTAATTAAGAAAGCAGTATTAGTTCCCTTAGCATTAGTTCCCTTTGAAATCTAATAACCAAAAGGGCTCCATAGTCCCAATTCTTTATCAGCTTTTTCATTGATTGAAAGATTGGAATCGGGTTACAACTTCATGTTACCTTTTTCTTTTCAAGAAAAAAATAAATATAATTTAATATATGATACTATGAAACTGTAGGTCCTGATACATTTCTGGTTGACTGTTATAAAATATACGTATTTAAAAAGGTCCTACTTTATGGGAGACATGTGATAATGCCTTCTTACACTAATTTCACTAAGCAGATAAATATATAATATATTCAAGTTATAGATCAATTTCCTTAGTAAATTCAGCTTATCCATCAGAAAGCTAATATTGTTCAATTTCTAAATGATACCATAGAATTAATTCATTGTAGTTTGGATCTAGGTTATTTGTTTAGATGTTGAGAAAGCAGTGGTGAAATCCTCTGCAGATTGCCACCAGTTCGCTGCCCACACATGCGTGGTGTGCACCAGATGCATGTGCGCGCACATGCACACCAAACACAAGCTGTGTGCATGCGTAGTGCGCAACCAAAGCATGCTTCTTACAAAAAAAAAGAAGCTGTTTGAAGGAAAGGAAAAGAGGGGGGGGGGGGACAGCTGTGCCGCGTGATTTAGATTCGCTAGAAAGCAGGATTTCCTGCTGTCTAGTGAATATAAATCGTGCGGCACAGCTGATCGTTGGAAATACCGGTTCAAATGAACTGGTAGCTTTTTTTTACTACCAGTTTGCCCAAACCAGTATCTTTTATTACTACTGGTTTGCCCGAACTGATGCGAACCGGTAGCATTTCACCCCTGTGAGAAAGTTTTTGTTTTTATTAATAGAAATTTTGAAAATATTAATATTCTAGTAGGTATGATAAAACCAAGATGTTTGTGTAGTGTAGATAATGATTTATGCTTCATAACTATGTCCAAATTTATCTTCTTTTCTAATTTATTTATAATTGGATTAAATCAGACTTGGTAGCATTGAGTCTTAGTTATAGGTTTTTAGATTGTGTTTGGATTCTTTTATGTATCATAGTATAAAGGTTCCTAAAAAGTCTTCTTCGATGATACATTTAAACTGTCGATATTTGCAATAAAGGAATTCTAGACTGCTTATATGGAACTTCTTTTTGGAAAGATGGATATAAATGAGATGACTTTGAAGATTGATATTGTAAGAAGCCGACCTATTTTTAATTTTTTCATATTCAGAAATTGGTTCGTTGGGTTTATGCTTATTCTGTTGCTATTCTTCGAAATTCATAGGCTATCAATGTGACTTTTAAGTGAGCAGTGCATATATTCTTCTTGCCATATCCCCAATATCTTAATTTTATCAAAGCAAAAATTATGACCCACTTATGTACAAGGAGTAGACAAAATAATTATTGTACAAAATTAGAAAGAGCACTTGCAGAGATTTCCAGCAAGGAACTGCTGATAAGTGCTGCTCATCAGCATTTGAATTAGTTTCTTTATTTCTCATAGACGGACAAGAAAGGGGATATTTCACAATGTTGACCACATTTTCTAGGGTTTCCCCCAGGCTATCTTTCCTAGCTGTCTGTTTTACTGGCCATCTGTACTTCCGGCCTTCTTTCATATTATATCTGATTTGTTTATATTGCTGATAGTTAATTCTGATCATGTGTTTTTTTATTTGTGTTAAATTACAGTATGGATTTGATATTAGTATTTTTGCTATGTAGTACCATATTATTGCTATTGTTAATACTGGTTTAATAAAGCAGCCAGTTCAACTGCTTTCCTTTCAGAATTAATGTTAATCCTTTTGATTCTGCTATCTGTTTTGCACTTGGAAAGTTAGGTTTAATTAAGTAAATTACACGAAAATACATTTTCTACAAAACAGTGTATTGTATTTGAGTTCAGAATATCTAAAAAAAATTATCTTGTTCATCAGAATTTTCTCTAAAAAGAGAAGAGCTAATGTGTGAGTGCCTACTATAATGGAAATAGAAAAGGATTATTATTATTATTGCATATCCCGTATGCATTCAGTTTGAAGAGAATCAAAAAATGAATGAAAAAAATGATCAAATTAAGTAAAAATAATAATTTACATAAATTTATTTCTCCAAATGCTGCCATGGCTCATCAGTCAGTGATGTCCTTACTCTATGTATGCAGAGATGATCATTGAATTTATCACAACCACTACACAGTCTTAGCATACCTTCTGAATGACCTTATGCACACTACAAGAGTTAATGCTACAATGCCCCCCATCATTAGCCCTTACAGTTTGTCTAACAACCATGGAGTCCCTCCCCCTGCAGATTTTACTCCGCTAATCGTTGCTGACTATAGGTGGCAGTGCTTATCTCTATTTCAAGGCCATTGGGCCAGCGCTGTCTGAAGATATTTCTGTGGTCATGTGGTCAGCATGATGTCACGGAATGCTGTTACCTTCCTACCAAAGTGGTACCTGTTTATCTACTTGCATTTGTATGCTTTCGAACTGCTAGATTGGCTGGAGCTGGAATGAGGATGGGAGCTCACCCTGTCACATGGAACTCAGGTCTCAAACCTGGACTGTCACTTTCTAACAGCCACACTGCTCCTCTAATAATCTTGGTATTGCCAAAATCTCAGCATCCTTGGAGTCAGGGTTCCAAGTATTTCTTAAAGTGTTAGTTGGATTATGTTGGGATCATAGTAGGATTCAGAAGTATTATCCTTTCGCTAGCATCTCTTTTTTTTTAAAGATTGTGTTTGCTGATTCTTTTTTTTTTTAATGAGTGTATTTTTGTGTGTTTTATCTTTGTTTTTAGTAAATGGAAAAAAAGAGCATATATTGAATTCGTGATTTTTTTCCCATTGGCATAATGACTTTTTCTCTTTTTCCCCTCATTTTTTCCCATTTTATAGGATCAGTTTGATAATTTAGACAAGCACACACAGTGGGGCATTGATTTCCTGGAAAGATATGCAAAATTTGTTAAAGAAAGGATAGAGATTGAACAGAATTATGCAAAGCAACTGAGGTAAGTGATTTGTAAAATTCTTATATCTTAAATTTAGATGTTAGCAAAAAATCATGGCTCAAATATTGTAGTCTTGGAAGATTAAATATATTTTAGCCATGCAGTAAAAACCAACATTTTTCTATTCTTTTCAAATTAGTTACTACTTTCTGTAAATATCTATCTTGATTCCTTCTACTTTAATACCGTCCACTTTGGCACAAGTAAAGACATGTTTTAGTTCAAATATGCAAACAAAAGCTTGTGTAACAAATGGCATACCATACTTTGCAAAGAGACCAGAATGAAATAGGTTCTTTTAATCCAAAAGCACCTAAAACAGTAGCTTTTAAACTCACTATTGATGACTGCTGTTACTCATTTGCTCTTTTTGAAACATTACATATTTTTGCACTTTTTCCCTCATAGAGAAGGTTATGGTTATAGAGATCTGAATTAAAATATAATTGCTCATTTTCAGTCCCTTTATGTTGCTTTTCATGGCTTTTCAGTAGGTGGTGAAAAAAGAAAGCCTCAATTTCTTAGGATTTCCTCTGTTATTTTTCATTGGATTATATTCTTCTGACCTTGATAGAATTCTTAATAAAGGAGGGAATTAGTTATAGTTTTTTACTATGATAGGAAATTGAAAATATTGGAAGTTGTAAATATGTTCATTGGAATTTAGCAACAGATGTAAGAGCTAATAGTGATTGTACTTTATTTTGTTTTGATGTTTACTGTTTTCCTGTTGTTAAGGGATATTGTTGCTTTCATATAATGATAGGAGTCATACTTGAGAGCTGAGAATGTAAGCTGGTTGCAGAAATATTTAGATATGATCCTTTATTCTGGACAGCACAAGATAGAAGCAAATTATTAAACCTGATACATTTTTTTCCAGATGGATGCTTTTTACATTAATCTTTGTAGAAAATATTGTGAGCAGTGGATTTTTCCCTAATTATAGGTTTCAGAACATTCTCTAGTTCTGTTTCTTTTTTTTAGATAACAATTTTTTTAAAAGATCCATTTCAATTAATTTATGTTTTTGTATTCTCATCTACTTTCATTTCCTTTTCTGCAATATTCTCATACTTCCTTCTGTTTAGAGCAGTGCTTCTCAAAACCGGGTAAACTATCCAAAATTGGAGTAAAAGTGGTTTTTCTTCAGGTAACAAACCTATTATCTAATAACAACAGGACCATTTGAATAAGGATTTTCTGATAAGCAGTTTGGGGAAATGGTGGGGAAAATTTGGGAAGCACTGGGTTAGAGAATTACCTCTTAGTATGTATAGTTCTTTGTTTATTACAATGATAATAAACAAATTAATAAGTTTTAAACATTTCCCCATTGTATATTTTGTGTTGGGCTATTCACATGGCACAAATACCGTGTTTCCCCCAATATATAATATAATAATATATAATAATATAATAAGCCCTCCCCCAAAAATAAGCCCTCCCCGAAAATATTTAACCGCGCAACCGATCCCCGCCATTTCCTCTGGTTGGGGTTAGGGAGATAGAGCTGGAAATCAGGTAAGACAGCAAGAGGACCCCCGTCTTGCTCCATGCGCCCCAAAATAATAAGACCTCCCCAAAAATAAGGCCAAGCACTTATTTCAGGGTTCAAAAAAATATAAGACAGGATTTTATTTTCGGGGAAACATGGTAATAGTACATGGCAATATGCCATATAAATATATGTTCCTCTTGCTTATTCCATTGTCTACTAAAATTGAGAATGCTAACTATTAAAATTGAATTTCATCTAATTTAAGTAATTATTCTGAGGTGTGTACAGGTAATCCTCAAGTTACGACTAAAATTGGACCAGAATTTCCATTGTAAATCGGTATAGTTGTGTCATGTGACTATATTGGCTTACGGCGGCAATCCTGACTCTCCCCAATATGGCTATTAAATGAGTGCTCACTCCCAATCCAACCCATTCTGGGCTTGGTCCCTTTCATCTCCAAGCCTTGGTAAGATAAAGGACTTATTCCAATTCCCCCACCACCTCTCTCCCCTCCCATTTCTGTCGTTTTGGCCACCCTTGGCCAAAGTGACAAGCAATCTCAAAACTGTGTGACTACTTGCCATGCCCCAGGAAGCCTCAATAATCACCAGCAAGCATTAATTTTCCCAGTTGCTTTTTATCCCTAGGCCCATGGGATTCCCTAGCCCACTCCCTCTAGCAAGCCGCAAGCATTCATTTGCTCCAAGAGAGCAGCAAGCATTCATCCACCCAGCTGCCTTCTGTCCCAGTTTGCCACACCAAACTTTCACCTTTTGTGGACCGTGCCTCGGCACTTCAGAAATTGGGGGGTGGGGGAGGAAAGCTTCCAAAGACAGCACAGTTTTAGCCAGTTTGGAAAACTGTGTTGCCTTCAGAAAGGTTTCTAAAGATGGTGCAGCTTCCACCATTAAGGGGATGGAGAAGGGTTAGGTGGGAAGATTTCCGAAGACCACACACCTTTCTGAAGTGGCTACAGTTGAGCTATTTTTGGAAATCTTTCTGAAGAAAACACAGCTTTAGCAACACGTAGGAAACATTTGCCAGAGAAGCTGGGTCCAAAAAGGAGGCGGCAAAGGCACATTGGATGCAAAAGGCAAAGCCTTGGTGCATGGAAGTAGAAGAGAAAGCAAATATAATAATATAATATTATATTATATTATATGATACGATACGATACATTACAATACTAATACTAGTCTCTAGAACAGAAGCCCCCAACCTTTTGGGCAACAGGACCAGTTCTGTCCTGTGAAGAGAGGTCTTTCTGTGGACTGCAGGGGGCATGGTTTCATGTTCTGCCTGCATCCTGTGGCTGGGGCTTCGCTTGTTTACATGGACCGGTTTCTGGCACGCCGCGGACCAATGTCGGTCCATAGACTGAGGATTGGGCATCTCTACTCTAGATGGAATTGCACATAGTTCTCAAATTACAATCATTCATTTAGCAATCATTCAAAGTTACAATGGCACTGAAAAACATGACTTACACAAGTCCTCATACAATTGTCGCAACATTCCCACGGTGTTGTGATCAAAATTTAGGTGCTTGGCAACCAGCACTTATTTACATAGTTACATAGTGGTAGTATCCCGGGGGGTGGGTGGGGGGCGGTCATGTTATCACCATTTACAACAGAACAGCCAGTTTCTGACAAGAAAAGTCATTGGGGGAATCCAAATTTGATTAACAGCTGTATGAATCAAGGAGAGAACCAACCCAGAACAAATAAGAAATTTCCTGACAGTTAGAACAATTAATCAGTGGAGTGGCTTGCCTCCAGAAGTTGTGGGTGCTCCAACACTGGACTTTTTAAGAAGAGATTGGACAACCATTTATCTGAAATGGTATAGGGTTTCCTGTCTGAGGAGCGGGTTGGACTGGAGGACCTCCAAGTTTCCTTCCAACTCTTGTTATTCTGATACCCTTAATAACTGTGACAAAACGGTTGTAAAACCAGGCAAAAAAGGTTGCACCACTCATTCAACCCCCTTCCTTAATATTGGAAGTTCTGGTCTTAACTGGGGTCGCAAGTTGAGGAATATTGTACTTGATTTTGAAGATGAAGAAAGTTCTCTAAATAATCCTGTTGAGTTGGAAACTATATAATTTGTGCATAGCCAAATGAAGTTTTAGTTACCCAAATTACTATATTTAGAAAGTTTGGCAAGATATCTAGATACTTTACTACCATGAATTCTAAATTGAAAGCAAATGTGGTTTCTTGTTTCTCAAGTATTTTTTTCTTTAATTGAAACTGAAAACATAAGAGGTTGATTGTGATCCAAATGTAGATGTGGCAGACTTTAATTCAACAGTTGTACAAATGGATTCATATTCTAAAGAGATTCATGCTGAAAAACCTATCATTCCATAGTTAATTGCTCCCAGAATAAAATGATTTTTCCATAAAACTGCAAATTGTCAACAATAGTACTAAGTGCTTTTCTCTAAATACTCCAGAGAAAGAAATTTTTAAAAATGGTATTCTGTCTTCAGTTACTATGTACCACTAAGGTGTACAAAATATTTCAATTTAAACAATTTTGAATGCAAATCAATTTAAACCCATTTAAAACATGTTCAGAAATGTTTTCAGTTGGAAACAAAATTGTTATGAGTGCAAAATTATTTCCAAAATGCTTAAAACTAACCTGTTTTGCAAAGTTTCATACTCAAAATGACTTAAAATGAAATGTTTTGCATATCTCTTCGATCTGCTTATGGACTAATATTTTACTTACCTGTGCAACTTGATTAAAATGTAATATAATAATAAAAGTGTGTTGAAATAGAAGACCAGCATAAGTAATCTACATTTGCAAAAATTACAGCCTAAACCAGTGATGGCTAACCTTTTCTGGACCGAGTGCCCAAAGCGCGCACACATACATGCGCAAATGTACACACAAGCTCCTGAACCCCCAAAATGCAGTGCACGTGCGGCCCCTGCACAGGCGCCTTGCCCCCATGCATGCACACATTCATGGCTCCCACACATGCGCCCACCCCACACACATGCACACATGCCCCCTGCATGCACCCTGTGCATGCGCTGCAGAGACCTGAAGACCAGCTGACCAACATGCATGCTCGGCAGAGCTGAACTGGGGCGATGGCTCGTGTACCCACAGAGGGCACACACAGGCCTAAATCTTTTGCCATCACATCTCCCTTTAGTGTAATCTTAATGTACACGCCTTGCTTAAAAATCCAGCTACCAAAATGAACACAAATGAACAATATTTTTTAATGTATTTCTGTTCTGGTTAGTAGCTAATAAAAATTCTATTCCTGCTCTGCTCTGCTCTGCTCTACACCTCTCCCCTCCCCTTCCCTGCCCTCTGCCACTCTATTCTTCTGTTCTGTTCTGTTCTGTTCTGTTCTGTTGTTCTGTTCTGTTCTGTTCTATGTCACGCCATGCCACGCTACTCTCTCTACTCTGATCTGTTTTGTTTTGTTCTATTCTATTCTCAATGAAAACAAAATAAATAAACTTTGGGAAAGGTGAATTTATTTTAACAATAAAGCTAAAAGGTTCTTCACACTTCCCCTGGACTGCCTGCATCTCCCCAAGGGAGGTATAGCTCACAGTCTGGGAAACCCTGAGTTATATTATTCTACTATCCTCAAAACAGTGGTGCCAAAAGCAACACTAGGGAAAAGATTATGAGAAATGAATGATATCTTATAAGTACTCTATAAAATGTGGGTGAGTTATCCGAGGCAGCTCTCCATTAAAAGCTCCTGTGAAAGAAGTCCATGAATTCCACATTGCCCTAAGAATTTTTTGACATGTGTTTGATATTATACAAGACTCTCCCAGGCATTAGCAAAGTCAATATATAGCAAAGTGTGCTCACCCATATATATCTTAAAGGCATAGATGGAAAATGTTCATCAACATTTTCCCATGGCCTTTTACAGTACGTAGAATGTGTTCAACATCTGTTAACCATTTATATCAGGCATCCTTCCATGGTTGCCCTTTGTGAGAAAAGTTTCTTATTGTCATCAGCGTTTCTTAATTTTGAAAAATTCATTAAATCCCCTCTACTAACTTCCCCGCTTTTTTTTTTTTTTTGCTACTGATAAAGTATGAATATTGTAGTATTCAAGTGCCAGGTAGTTTTCTTATATCTAAAAACTAGAGCAGGGTTAAATTTAAATTTAGTCCAAGGAAGAATGATTTATTCTATGTTCTTAGTATATCACTTGAGGAAATGAAATAGATTTCCTGCTGTGAAATGTGAAACATACACCATTATTCCTTTGTGGGGATATTTATGAGCAATTTGGTAACTTGAGGCCACTGGAATCTTTGGAATTTCTGCTGTATTCTTTTAGCGTCAGTCTTTTGCTGCTGCTATTCTTTACCATCTTCTGGAAAATGTCTTGTTTTGGCTGGAAAAAAAGCCATGTCGTTACCTCTCTGGGAAAAGACATTTAAAAATGCTGCTGAATTTGTAATTATAAACTAATTTGTCAGTCTGTGCATAGAAAATTCTGCTTTTTCTTTTGGCTTCATTTCTGTGACCTTACACAGAAAGAAAATACGACGGATTGGTTTTGATCAAGGATTGGTAGTCCTTGTATGTTACAACAGCAATTGGAACTGGAATTTTAGTTGCTAAGTGAAGCTGTTGTAAAACATGACATCATGTGACCACATTGCTTAACAATGGCAGTCCCTGTTGCTGTAAATTAAAAAAGGACCACGTGGGTCATTAAGTGAGGACATCATGTGATTGCAACATGGGACAAGACGAGAATCACGAAGTGTTTGCTTAGGCTACTGAAACAATGTCCAGTGTGTGGTTGCAAATGGCAGTCATGTGCCTGGGATGCTGCAATTTTTGTAATTGTGAGCCATTTGCCAAGTGCCCAAACCATGTTCATGTGATTTTGGAGATGTGTGATCGCCACAACTTTGTACCTTTGAACTGTCATTGAATGAGAGGTCACTAAGTGCGGACTACCTGGAATTACCCAACAGTGGAATAATTTTTACTTTTTTATATAATCTGTTTATTTTAAGCAATGTAGTTTACACTATGTAAATAATGTATGTAAATATAACTATTCTAACTAGTTGTCTTATTTTTCTGACTAAGATGGATTATTAAATTCACCTTGCCCTTTTTTTAAAACCCATCTCTCTCTTTCTCTCTCTAACAGAAATCTGGTGAAGAAATACTGTCCTAAACGTTCATCCAAAGACGAAGAGCCCAGGTAGTATTAATATGAAATATATATGGATCTTGGTCTAATCCCATTATCAAAGTTGTTGGGATTTAAATGTTTAAGCCAAGTACATTTTTCATAGGACATAATTATATATTAAAAAGTATTATTTTATAATAAAGATATCTGGATTAATGTGACTTCAAAATTTTGGTATGTTCAAGACCTGATGTAATATATAATATAATGTAATATATTTGACCTAACCCAAGCGTCCAAAACTTCACTATGTAGCAAACACGTTCATTCAAAGGAAATATATGAATGATATGTCCCATTTTTCAGATGAAGCGACTAATTTCTGCATCAAGCTTAGTTTTCCTCATAATTTTCAATTTGTTCCTAAAATCAGTCTTTTAATTTCACAGCTTAGTAAATGCTCCTGTTCCACAGGACCTTTGGGCGGTATTCTTTATTTTCTCCCTGCACAAATTCCTGCTGATCTTACAGGTTTCTTTAAGGAGAAGTGGTTTTGGACTTTCTGTTTTGCTTCTTTCTTTGAGGTTCATTTTTTTAAAGGTCTTCACACCATGCTAGATTTTGATACGTTCATTTACTTTTTGTTTTGTTGAAGAAAAGCAGTAATACACCCACATTATTAATGAAATATCTTTTTTGTTTATTTCCTGTATTCTGCCAGGTTTACCTCATGTATAGCCTTTTATAATATTCTTAATGAGTTAAATGACTACGCAGGACAGCGTGAAGTAGTAGCAGAAGAATTGGGACATAGGGTATATGGAGAACTGATGAGATATTCCCACGAACTCAAAACGGAAAGGAAACTGGTAAAGGATGGGGGTGGGAGATCCAAGTTACTGTTTTGCTGAACTATCTGTGAATGTCAGGGCAATTTAATTATTTGTTTTATCCAAAAACAGCAAAAAAAATTAGACGTCTCTTCTGCTTGGCCAGCTTGTATATAGATCTTCATGTAGTCCTGCATTATTCTATTGTAAAAATGCAGCAAAAATATACCTGCCTATAAGATTCTAAAATATAGTCCATTTAAATATGTTTTGTTTTCTGATTGGTATTTTATTAAAATACTTGTATTCCCCCTCTCCCTCCCTCCATCTCAGTGGAGCGGATTCCTTAAAACAAGCTTCTGGTCACAGCTAAGCCCTCAGCAAGTTTTTTTCTAGATCTATGTGTTATTTAGTACTTAATATATTTGATGACTTTTAGAAATATTACATTTTTGAAAATATGAAGATGCTGTTATATTCCTAAGGGAGCTTTTCCCTCCAGCTATAGAGAATGTAGCAGTAGCGCTCAAGGAATCCATGTAGTTATATAATCCATATAATTACATGAATTGTAGTTCCTTCCATTGCATCTCATATTATTATTGAACATAATTTAAGTTAAAAATGTAAAACTGCTATCTTAAATGTTAAAGATGGCATTTTTACATCTTTGAAAGAAAGAAAACAATTGATGAACGCATATTAGTAAAATAAAATGATGGTGCTTCTGTTATGATTTACATTCTTGTTTGGCATTCTGTTTTGCCTTTTGATTGATATATATCATTTTGTGAGATTAAGCTGAACAGTTTTAAAAGCAAGATGGGGTTTATAAAACATCTTGTTTACTATGTTCCAGCACCTTCAAGAGGGCCGAAAAGCACAACAGTATCTTGACATGTGTTGGAAGCAGATGGATAATGTGAGTTTTCTTTTATTCCTTTTCTGGTTTCCTTAAGGTTGCATAGTTTTATGGATGACTGATGCCAGAGTGAAGACATAATGAATGAACTTAGTTATCACTGAGCCATCACAGTGCTTTCATTGTTCAATAGCCAAAATGGATTATTATGTTTGTTAGATCATTACAGTGCTAATTCCTCAGTCACTAATATCTGCAGAAATATGACTTTGATAGATTTGCGGGCTGTATTTCATCTGTCTCGAAATGTATTGAAATGCTGCCTAGCCTTGGGGTTCTTAAGCATGAATTTATTTGGGTAGACCAGAGGCTTACTTTTATTTAAATCTTGAGAATCATATCTTCCCTGTTAATTGATACACTTTTGAGTTACGTTAAGATTATTTTTTATGAATTAGTCTCAAAAATATTGGATATTACAGTAGTAAAATTAAAGGGTAGCTGATGGGGTTACATAATGTTAAATAAATAACTATTTCAAGCAACAAAAAAAAAATACTAGCTTAAGTGTAACTAAGGCTGTAGTCCTGTATGTTCACTCTCCCTAAATAAGAGTAATTAAATTTAGTGGGATATTTAATGCTATGCATTGGGTTGCAAGAAATGCAAAATTTCCAATTTTTGTTGAAGTCTTTAAAAAATCAATATATAATTTGTCAATTTCTGTGGCCTCTAATCTTCATAGTCCCAAGTTATATGATCCAATTTTCATTCCATTCTATCAAATCATTTTCACTGTACTTGTCCCATGTCTTTCTAAAAGAATGTATTATGAAGGAGACAAGTAATGATAATGGTAAGCCTAATATTTATACAGAGCTGTTCTCTACTATACAAACTGCTCCATAAAAATTCTATTAATAATCTCTACCATTGATGTTATACTGTATTTGCAGGACATTTCTATGCTATATATGAGCTTTCAAGAACGAAAATACTACTAAGCTGTTCAGACTAGTTCATGTATTCTTAATTAGTGGTATGTTTGTGTGTGTATAGATACATTACACTTGTTAACCTCATGTTATTAGTTCTTGTAATAATGTTCTGTGATGTATTGAGGATGGGATAATTTTTTCGGACAGATGGAGAAAGCAAATACTTTCATATATGGGACCAGCCACAATGCTGTTCACACAGAAGAGGCAGATTATTCAGGGTTAAATCATTGTTCCTGGGTTAAATTTTTGTTCCTAACCTATATTTGCATTTTAGGGGAATCAATAGCTAGCAAATGAATAGAGCTTCCTAAAATAATGGGGAAATGAAATAAGTAATAGTTAGCCTTGCTAATGTTAAAGTTATTTTATTCCTAGCATTGGACAAATGCATGATTGAGAGGGTAGAGGATGTGGGAAGTTTTAAAATCTAAGAATTAAACAAGTACAAAATGAAATACCCAAAGGTTAAAAGAGAACAATTTGTGCAGAATATGTTCCATTGTCATCAAAAAAGCATGGATCTGAATTATAATTGTGAGAGTAGTGCAAGCACTGTGATAAGTTGTATTGATTTGTAACTATGTCATTGCATTGTAGAGCAAAAAGAAATTTGAAAGAGAGTGCAAAGAAGCAGAAAAGGCACAGCAATGTTATGAGAGACTGGACAATGATACCAACGCCACGAAAGCAGATGTTGAAAAAGTAAGATATTGTTATTGGAAAATAATAGTTCTCATGGCTATATTTGGAAATGTTACCAGTATTTATTGAAAGAATACAGTCTTTGGACCGTCTAATATGAATATCAAAGTGTGTTGCATTAGCCGAGTTTCAGCCATCACATATTTTGATTTTTTTTTTCAGATTATGGTTTGAAAATCATGGTTCTGATTGCAAAATTTCATGAAATATCCCATTTTGTTGGTAAAACTGCTGTGAATGCTTGAAACAGCCTGTTTCATATTTGAAAGAGAAGTTTCTACACATATGACTGGATCTTCTGTGAAATGTCACTCATAAAACATTTTAAAATGCAACTTTTACAGTTCTATGCTGGAGCCACTCTTGAGCTTTCTTATTTTCTCATGGATGAAGCTGCAGATTGTGCTTATAAATCCAATGCAGTAAAATGTGACTTGGGCAAATATTTCAAATGAAGATTGAAAGCCACAATTAGTCTTTTGAATATTTATCTAAACCAGTTTGCTGCTTCAGATTTTCACAGCAGGCCATTGCTTAATCGTGTCCCTGAAACTTCCTTACTTAACTATTTTTTTAATCTTTAATTTTATTTTAAATACAAAAACATTATGGATAACACTCAAGTTAAAGGCTTCAAAATATTAAATGAAAAATAATGTTAAGCAACTATATTCAGTGTCTTATTTATTTATATAGTCTTGTGTAGAATATTTTATTGTAATTGAATAAAAGCCATAACTAAAGATGCAGCATTTTTAAGAACAGCATTTTTAATAAAAGGTCTTAAGCATTTGCTATTTTTATCTAAGTTTGTTACCTCTTGTGACGTGTCTGTAATGCTTGTTTTATACATTGATGTTTATACATTTTATATATTGATGTTTCTCATTAGATTTACGGTTAGTGATTTTTAATAGCATAATTTATTAATTATTGTTAATTTTTTCTCAAAGAAAACTGTTTTGCCTTATAAAATAGTTTACAACAGGAGTTAACTTCTATTGTAGGAATACGCTTTTCTACTTGTGTTGGTTGGATTTCTCTCCTTTTTTGTATTTATCCACAGATAGATATAAAATTAATATTTTTGTGACCATTTTCTCTTAAAACTAGTAGATTTGTGCAAGGATGTTTCCTTAGTAAATCAGCATAAGCTCCTGCAGATGGACAGAGAGGACCAGTTAATAAACTATTCATTATTAACACTTAACTTTTCTCTTTTCGTAGTTGCATTACAGTATTGCATGTAAACACATAAGGAACAAAACTTGTGCTAAGACATCGCAATATATTTATATTTATCATTTTGATGACGTTTTGGCTTGCTGCAAATGCTGCAAGGTAGACTTTCCGGTTTAGCTTCCTTTGTAAATGCATTTGTTGAAAGTAACACCAAAACAGTGGCATAATAAAAACAGCATACCCCCAGGGATACGAATGATCCCAGATCTCCGTACTTTCCGTTGTGCCTTGAAGACCTTTCTATTTCACCAAGCCAGACTGGCATAAATTTTCAGTTTATCTAAATTCGACGCTGAGGATCTTAATTGATGAGCCAAATCGGTTTAATTATTTTAAATTACTTTTATTTCACATTATATGTATGTTATTCTGACTGTTCACCACCCTGAGTACTTCGGGAGAAGGGCGGCATAAAAATTAAATAAATAAATAAATAAATAAATAAATAAATAAATAAATAAATAATAATTGAAACAACTCAGTTAAAATCAAAAGCTTTTTTTAATAGGGGTTGACTTCATAGTTGAGAAACAGTTTCTATAATTTACAAATGTTAATGAGAGGATATGTTGGACACAAAGACTTTACTGGGCATTAAAGATAATGAGCATGCTCTAAGTATGAATTTCTTTTAAAAATAATTTAGAACGGTTACTGATCTGTCCCCATTTTTTAGGCAAAGCAGCAACTAAACCTGCGTACACATATGGCTGATGAAAATAAAAATGAATATGCTGCACAGCTCCAAAATTTCAATGGTGAACAGCACAAGCATTTCTATATTGTCATTCCTCAAATATACAAGGTAAGTGTCAGAGTTCCAAGTAACCCCCCCCCCAAAACAAAACAAAAAAGCAGACTGCCAAGAAGTTTTACATCTAAGTGAATTTGGTTATTGAAGAGCGTGAAGGTAAATTTCTACAATTTACCATTTATTCTTCTAGATTCTGTTTGTTTAAATGTATATAATTAATTATATACATTAATTAAATGTATATAATTTATTTTGTAAATTAAAATGATAAATTATATACATATAATTAAAATATAAACTATAATTTATTTTATAAATTATATAATTACTATTTAGTTTTAAATATAGGATATACTTCTAAAAGTGAAGAATGCCCATCTACCTTTGTGTTAATTGTGAGATTTGAAAATGTTTTAGAAACCAACAAAAGACTGACTAGTTAATTATGGCATAAACTTTTACAGTAGCAGAGTTTATTTTGTAAAAAAAAAGTGTTAGTCCTTAAATTATTCTTTCTTGTTTTTATTACCACAGTCTTAGGTTGAATATGGAATACAAATCACAACTTTAATTAGCGATGACTGTAGTTGATACTTGCCAATTCTAATTGATTTTAGAGGGCATTAGCTGTGAATACCATTTGTAGAAATGAGCAAAGTTGAGTAAAATAGTGATCCACCAATAAAAAATTTATTATTATTTATTTTATTTAGTTCACTAACGTTTAGTTAAAACACCACAAATTGAACAAATGATTATTATAGGGAGGACAATGTTCCACTCTATTTGGAATGTTACTACAAAGATGTTCAGTCTCTCCTTTATTACTTAGCACCTTCAAGAAATGGATGAACGACGAACCATCAAACTTAGTGAATGTTATAAAGGATTTGCAGATTCTGAGCGGAAAGTTATTCCAATAGTCTCAAAATGTTTAGAAGGAATGATTGCTGCAGCCAAATCAGTTGATGACCGCAGGGTAAGTTTAATTTGTTCTGCATAATTCAGTGCTAATATTAAGCACATTGATATGGAAATAAATCTAGTCTTGTAGTTACAATCACATTCTATCGTAACTAGACTAGCGCCTACGCTGGTCAAGCTTACGCAGCTTAGATCCCGTAAAGCAAAATACAATCAATCCCATATGTTTTTTTCTATGAAATCAATAACTTTCTTCTCTTTTCCCAACATTTTTGTTGATCTAAGAAGCAGCAGAAAGTGGAACTCATCATATTGCAGCCAGTCCTCAGTTAGGGACTATTCACAAATATGATGATAGTAAACAGTAGTAAAAATAATTTTCCACACTTAACACCTAAATTGCATTGGACAACAACGTATGCCAGAGAGAGAATTAGTATTGCTGCATGAGAGAACTTTATCTAAATGAAATGGCAGGAAGCAACAACCTCTCTCTCTCAGGGAGGGAGAGAGGGAGAGGGAAAGAGAGAAATGGCAGCCATTCTTACTGGTAGGGTTTTAGGTTTGCACACCTGTTATAGATAATAATAGAAATATAGCATGTTTCATTTTTATGTCTCTAAGCACTGTGGCTATTTAATATTCCCTGTTTGAAAAGAAAACCAGTCTTAATATTTTCACATATCCCAAAAAGGAGAATATTAAATCTAGGTGCCAATCAATGCATAATTTTTAATTTTGTAGAACTTGATTTTAAGTGTACGTTTATAATTTCTTTAAGAATGTTGTTAGCAATTGAGCCTGAATGATTCATGTGTGTATTACACTATGTAAAAATTAGAGTAGTCTGATTTCAAGAGATGCAAACACTTATTGCAGCAAATCAATTAAGACAGGAGTTGCAGTATTTGGCATCCCTCATTCTGTATTCTGTGTTTGTTAGAGATGGCTTCAAATAATAATAATAATAATTTTATTTCTATACCGCCCTTCTCCCGAAGGACTCAGGGCAGTGTACAGCCTATTTAAAAACACAAGACAAAACAGCAGTTAAAAATTAAAATGATTAAATAGATTTGGCTCAATTTAAAACCCCAGAAATTTAAAATACCCCAATTTAAAATTATTATGTTGATAGGCCAGCCTGGCGGAACAACAGGGTCTTCAGTGCGCAGCGAAACACCCAGAGGTCGGAGATCTTACGTATTTCCGGGGGCAGTTCATTCCACAGGGCTGGGGCTCCCACAGAGAAGGCCCTCCCCCTGGGTGTCGCCAGCCGACATAACTTGGCCGATGGCACCCTGGGAGACCCTCTCTGTGGGAGCGGATTGGCCGGTGGGAGGCTATTGGTGGCAGAAGACGGTCTCGAAGGTACCCAGATCCTATGCCATGGAGCGCTTTAAAGGTGGTAACCAACACCTTGAATCGCACCCGGAAGACCACTGGGAGCCTGTGCAGCTCACGCAGGAGGGTTGTTACGTGGGCACAATGAGTTGCGCCCATAACCACCCGCGCGGCCGCATTCTGGACCACTTGGAGCCTCCGAGTGCTCTTCAAGGGGCGCCCCATGTAGAGAGCATTACAATAGTCCAACCGGGAGGTAACAAGGGCGTGAGTGACTGTGCGCAGGGCGTCCCGGTCCAGAAAGGGCTGCAACTGGCGAATCAGGCGGACCTGATAAAAGGCCCCCCTGGCCACGGCTGTCATATGCTCTTCTAAAGACAGCCGGGCGTCCAGGAGGACACCCAGATTGCGAGCCCTCTCTGTGGGGGGCAAAGATTCACCCCCAATAGTCAGCGATGGCACCTGCTGACTATATCGGGGCGCCGGAAGCCACAGCCACTCAGTCTTGGAGGGGTTGAGTCTGAGCCTGTTTCTCCCCATCCAGACCCGCACGGCCTCCAGGCAGCGAGACATCACATCAAGGGCATCGTTGGGGTGGTCTGGGGTGGAGATGTACAACTGAGTATCATCAGCGTACAGTTGACACTTCACCCCAAAACCATGGAAGATCTCGCCCAGCGGCTTCACATAAATGTTGAACAGGAGGGGCAAGAGGACTGACCCTTGCGGCACTCCCCATGCGAGACGCCTCGAGGTCGACCTCTGCCCCCCTGCCAACACAAACTGCGAGCGGTCGGAGAGGATGGAGGAGAACCACCGCAGAACGGTGCCCCCTATTCCTAACCCCCTCAAAAATGTGATAAGATGCTAAGAAACTGCTTCCTGCCTCCTCTTAAGTCCATTTTATTCCAAATGGAATTTCTTGTGTTCAGTACTTGATGAAAATGAAACTGTCTATATCTTGGGAATCTTGGATAGATTCTATGTAACGGTTCCAATATAATGATAAAAGAAAAGGAAATACAGGTTATATGCATTTTGTTTTCTCTACAATAAATGCTTACCATTCAAAACAGAGACACTGAAAAATAATGATGTAAACTAATTTACATTAAGTTTTAGTATAATGGGCAGAAGAAATAACCTTGAGATGCAGGAGGAAGAGCTGCAACCTAGACAGTGGTCAGTTAAACAAAATCTGAATCCAAACCAGAAATGTGTTTTGAGGAATCATCTCAGAATTGATCCTTCCTAGTTATCTGGAACATAAAGTTGCCGGGGGCGGGGGGGGGGCGTTTTCAGACTTGCAAGATTCTGTTGTTGTAACCTTAACAATAAAAATATTCATGATTTTTGTTTCCTGATCTCGAGTACCTTGAAGGGCTGATTGGCAGTCTTTAAATGCAATATTAGTTAAATGCGATATGTAAGCCAATTAACTGTGTATATTTCTCCCATAAAGGATTCTCAAATTGTAATAGACTCCTTTAAGTCTGGCTTTGAACCTCCTGGAGATTTTCCATTTGAAGATTATAGTCAGCACATTTATAGGACTGTTTCTGATGGAACGATCAGTACCCCAAAACAGGAAGGAATGAAAATCGATGCAAAAACCACTGTGGGCAAGGCTAAGGGAAAACTCTGGCTCTTTGGAAAGAAACCAAAGGTAAAAAAAAAATCAAAATGTATCCCATGATTGCACATTCAAGGTTGTAATTCAGTGATTAAATGTTGCCTTTTTCAACAGAATAATCAGATTGATTCTTGTTGACCGATTGTAGGGGCAAAATTGTTCATTTTAGAAACGGGGTTCTAGTGTGTTCCAGAGTATAACTGCTATTATGAACTCTCATCCCTACATAATTCAACTATGGAATTCCAGCAGCTGAGTCCCAGCAAGCCAAAAGCATATACTGTGACTGATTAGGATTATAGATACTGAAATTGCCCTGTAATTTTAAAATAATTGTGTATACCAGACAGTGGCTTGGCCAGAAATTCCTGTAGCTGATCTGAACAGTTGTAGCAGCCTCTGTAGTTGTTGCTAAACTGTTAGAGCATGCAATATTTTGCTATCCCTGTGGAATTGTATTTGTTGAAATTGAAGTGTTCTGGTGGATTGAAGAGAGATTAATAAGCACAATCAGTTTAAGGTTTTTAACTTACATGATAAATGTAGTACAATTAGAAGTATAGTTTATTTAAGCTTTGTTAGTCCTGGGGAAGCTTTGTTGAGGATGCCTTCATGTTTATAAGATAAAACTTGGAAAGAAGTGAATACTGTTGAGAAGCAGGTGACCTGAAGGTTCAAATAGAAGTTAGTGTTAACTGCTTTTGAAGTATGAAAAACTAGCAATATTAAGTCTAAGTTGACCCTATAATTGTGGATATTGTTGGCATTGGGACAAGCAATGAGCATAAAAATGTTTTATTTTTCTTCTTTTCATTGAACTGTGGTGGATTGTATGGGAAATTTGTGCAGAAAATTTTAATACTTTAGATCAGGCGTGTCCAACTCGTGAGCTGCATTCGGCCCTGGGCAGCTAGTAATGCAGCCTACAACACTGTGTAATTTTAACATTATTATGTGCATTTATATACATTAACTATATTATATATTTATATGGCGCCCAAGACAATTCTTCACTCAATGAAGCCGAGGCAAGCTAAAAGGTGGATACGCCTGTTTTTGATGAAAGAATGCAATTGTAATTTCTAACTATATAGTGTATCTCTATAAATATTTGAAGCCAGTGGTTTCATGTATCATTAAAATGGGCATCCAAATTTGAGATAAAATAAGGTTTTAATTTCATTTTTTCATAGCAAGAAACAAATGTAATATACCACATATATAAATAAAATGCCAGTGCCTATTGTATGTATTTCCTTTTATGACTGAAATTTATTAGTGTATTTTTGAAATAGTCCAAAAGGGGTAGCTTTCACTGTGATTTTGAAATTCTTGTAACCTCAATTCGGTGTCTTTAGCATTTTGCTAGTTAAAAACAAGAGCTTTGTGATGCCTGAAATAATATCAGTTATTTTTATTATAATACAAGTGTTATGATGATACATTCTTTCTGATGCTGATAATTATAATGATGAAAATAAACAATCATATGGGCTTGGATCCAGACGAAGTGTGCTGAAATGGAAGAATTTTTTCCATTCCCTAAAGTGAATGAATCGTGCAATGGAGGCTAATGTAAAAGAAGATTGTTTTCATCTGTTCCCTCTCTCTACCTCCAGTTCCACCTTTCATGTTATTTTTAAAGCCCTCCAATCTTTATTTATGAAAGGATAGTTACTATGGGTTTCAGAAGTCAAGGTATTTGGTTAAAATCTCCCCTTCTATCCAGTTGTGGGAGCATTCAGTTTGCAGAATTCTGTTCCTTTGTTACTCTGGATCCAACCCATCATTTGTTTCTGTATTGAAAGGAGAAGACAGAATTTTCATCACTTTGAATGTTTGCCTTATCTCTTCCTTTCTTTCTATATCAGCCACAGTCCCCACCCCTTACCCCTACTAATTTATACACGTCCAGTACTTCTAATGGTTCCCAGTATCCCATATTCTCCATTGAACAAATGCATTATTGCATGAATGAAATAAAGACAGGGAAGCCCAGAATGCCTTCTTTCAAAAACCTCAAAAGAGGGGTAAGTTTTATGAGATTGTGTAGGTGCATGATGGCGCTATGATGTGCTTCTATGTGGCTTTTTGTAGTACCTTCCACCATCATAAGTTTGTAGTACCTTCCATCATCACACCAGTGGTGTGATCAACAACTATGTTGCTTAATTCCATGTTGTGAAATAGCTTGGCTTAGCTCCACAATGAATGTTAATGTTAGAAATAGCTGACTCTGATGGTATTACAAAGAAGATGCTGAGTGCATGTTCTCATTGTTTCCTGAGCGTACTTAATATTGGCATTAATATTAATATAAGCATTGGGAACTAGAAATTGTTGGTAAGGAAAAAGAAGTGAGATAATTGTTTTAAAAAAAAAGGCTGATTACTATCTTGTTTGATGACTTCTCTGACAAAGGATGTCTAGTTTTTCTGAGGGATTTTAAAAAGTTATTCTGACAGCTATCCATACTTAATTCAGATGTTTATAATAAATAACTATGAGGTATTTATTTTATAATTCTTTCATTCCAACCTTCTTCCAAGAACCTGTTCATGGCATATCTGATGATGTATTTCCCCTTGACCCATCCTCTAGGACAGTGATGGCTAACCTTTTTGTCATTGCGTGCCGAAAGTGCGCGCATATGTAACAGCGCGTGTGTGCCAGCACCCATAATGCAATGCACGTGCGACCCCCCCCTCCTTCCCCCCTGCCCCCCCCCCACATGCGCGCGCTCCCCCTGTGCTCCCTCACCCCCACACACATGAGTGTGTGACCCCCCTGCATCCCATTTTGGGCCTCCCTGCAGCCTCTTGGAACAAAAAATGGGCCGTGGGGAGGCGCTGCACTCCCCCACGCTCCCCTCACCTCGTGTGTGCACGCATGACCCCCTGCGCATGCACACGTGTCTCCCGCATATGCCCCACCCCCCTGCGCATGTGCAGCAGAGACCCAAAAATCAGCAGGCTGGCGGGAGGCATGCACACATGCGCGGTAGACCTGAGCTGGGGCGACAGCTCACATGCCCGCAGAGAGGGCTTTGCATGCCACCTGTGGCACTCGTGCCATAGGTTTGCCATCCCGGCTCTAGGACAGTGATGGCTAACCTTTTTGCCATCACGTGCCAAAAGCAGAGGGAGTGCGCGTATGCGGCCACACCCATAACTTAATGTGCACGTGACACCCCCCGCTCCCCCCCTCCTTTGGCATGGGATGGCATGGTGGGCCTAGTAGGCCTGTTTTTCGCCCTCTCCAGGCTCCAGAGGCTTTCTTGGAATCTGGGGAGGGCGAAAACTGCCTTCCCCATGGCCCTCTGGAGGCCCTCCGGAGGTCGGAAATGGCCCATTTCTGAAAAACAGGCCTTCCAGGCCCACCGGAACTCGGGAAATGGGCCCAAAAATCAGCTGGCTGGCGCACGCATGCGTGCTGGAGCTGAGCTAGGGCAATGCTCGCGTGTCCACCGATATGGCTCCGCATGCCATCTGTGGCACGCATGCCATAGGTTCGCCATCACGGCTCTAGGAAGTCTAGGCAAGGCTGTTGTATCTGTTCCAAGATCTTTCCTTTTTTAATTGCTACTAATAAAAATGTTGTCCAAATATAGTTTCTCTACAGGCTAATTTTGCATTTTAGTAGAGACCAGTCCTTTATGATTGAACTCCCAATATTTTTTTGCTCTGCACCATACATGAACAGTGGATCCAGTATTTCACTATGAGCTTCCCAAGATGTGTTCTCGTCAGAAAGACTTGTTTCTATCAGGTGCCTTTCCTCAAATATTTGTTATTGTAAAGTGATTAGGCACAAGTTCAGAATTACAGGTAGTCCTCGACTTAACAACAGTTCATTTAGTGACAGTTCAAAGTTACAGTGACACTGAAAAAAAGTGACTTATGAGCCATTTTTCACACTTACAACCATTGCAGCATCCCCATGGTCACGTGATCACAGTTGGGATGCTTGACAACTGGTTCATATTTATGACGGTTGCAGTGTCTGGGTGATTACGTGAACATCTTTTGCGACCTTCTGAAAAGCAAAGTCAATGGGGAAGCCAGATTCACTTAATAACTGTACTAACTTAACAATTGCACTGGTTCACTTAACAACTGGCAACAAATGTTGTAAAATGGGGCAAAGCTCACTTAATAATTGTCTCATTTAGCAACATAAATTTTGGGCTCATTTGTAGTTGTAAATGGAGGGCTACGTGTATATTGACCTCCATGTTATTGCCCTCTAATGTTAATTTGAATTTAGCCTTGACAACCTATGAACTGACTCTGGTTCGTAATCAGTGTATATATTTCTAAGTTATGTTATGAATCTTGTACAATGAATATTAAACCCATTTTATGCCACCTTGGATATTAGCAAGCTTTTTAATTTTTCAGATTATTGATTGTAATGGGATATCTTAAAATGTTATTTTCTGGGAAACATTTTCATTTTTAAAGGAATCTGTCTGCACTTTAATCGTTCACACACACATAAAACACAACTCTCTTCATTTTAGTGTATAATACATATTTAAATAATATTTAAATGCAGTGCTCTTCGCTCTAGTGGATAATTTACTGTTATTTCTGGAAGGACATGTTTGTTCAATCATTTTATGGATTACTATTAAGAGTGCAGTTCAGGAAGTGTTCTTACTAATTTATACTGACAGATTCTACAAATGGAGTTTGTTCTAAGGAAGAAGTAATCGCCAACCAACATTTATTTTTCCATGACAAATGAACTAGCATTAGATCATTTACTCTGAAAAACATTCTTTCATATATGTAGGAATCTAATACTGAGTCTGGATAGCCAGAAATGTAATGAATTCCCCCCTTCCCCCATACATACACATGTACAGAGGAATCACAATTGATTATAACACTATATACTTATTACAGTTGGGCATGTTGGTCTTGAGAGAAGCAGTTCAGAGTCCAAAGATATCATAAACAGTTCTAGTTAATTATTAGATAGGTTCTCATTGTAGTGAGTTGGTTTGGTCTTTTTTTTCTCTTTTGGCAATGGATGTCTTATAATTTCCTTGTCTTAAATTGGAACACAATGATGTAGTCATTTTTCCATTCAGCATCTGGTTTTAATCTATAATTCATGCTCTTTATCATAAAAATTTGCAAATTTTGAATCAAAAAGCCTTGATCATTCATTTAGAACAAATTATATGATTAGGCTTCATTAAAAACATATTTTTGGATTATAATTTTGTTATTCTTCCACATTTAAGTTTTTCAGATAACTTACTGTATTTTTTGGCATATAAGACGCACCTTTCCCCCCCTAAAAGAGGGTGAAATTTTGGGTGCGTTTTATACACTGAATGTAGCCCCGCCCAGCCTCTTAAAGGGAGGTTTCAGAGGCTGAAAAAAGCCTCTTAAAGGGAGGTTTCAGAGGCTGAAAAAAAAGCAAGGCACTGAGCTCACAACCAACAAACCTGTTGCTAAAGTTCACCTCTGGGAACAGCTGATTGGGGGTATTCCAGGAGGCCATCCACCCGCCAATCAGCTTTTTTCTTATTTTCCTCCCCCAAAACTAAGGTGCATCTTATACTCCGATGCGTCCTATAGTCCAAAAAATATGGTAGATTTTATAAGGAGAGAGAAAGCAAATTTGGCAAGAGTTCTCGTCTCTGGTTGGAATTAAGGAAGTTAGAGATGATAAAATATTTCTTAGGCTTCCTTTATACCTCTGAAACTTAGCTTGATTCTGTACTCACATTACTTCTAATTCTTATATAGCATTTTTGTATTCATAGCCATATCCAGCATTGTGAGAAAAAATTCTCTTAGCATAATAATTACTGCAGTAAGAGAAACTTATCTTTAACAAGTTTGTAAATCATTAAACATCACAGTCTACAGTGTCTCCTTTCTCTTAACTATTAATTATGATGGCTCTGTTGAGAAGATTTATGAATATAACTCCTATTTGAAAAAAATAACAACTGCCAAATTTAATAAAATTTAATTTAACAATATTGTCAGAGTTTTCCAGATGCAACATTAGTTTTGAGCATTTATATTTATTTATTAATTTTATATGCTGCCTGACTCACTATTGAAAGCGAAAGGGACAATCTCTGTAAGGACATTGGCTTTCATTATGGGGGTTAGAATCTAGATTCTAATCTCCCATACTGATTGGGAAATGGTAATGATTTTGTGTTGTATAAAAAAAGGAAATACATAACAGTCCCATATCATAGCTCTGGAGGGGTTTGTTCATGCCAAATAGGCAATATCTAAGGGGCTGCCACAAAGAAGAGGGAATCAACCTATTCTCCAAAGCACCTGAAGGCAAGACAAAAAGCAATGGATGGAAACTCATCAAGGAGAAAAACAATCTAGAACTAAAGAGAAATTTTGTCACAATTCAAACAATTAACCAGTGGAACAACTTGCCTCCAGAAGTTGTGAATGCTCTTAACAGTGGAAGTTTTTAAGAAGAGATTAGATAATCATTTGTCTGAAATCGTATAGACCAGAGGTGTCAAATTGGATTTCTTCAAGGGCTGGATCAGCATAATAGTTCTCCACAGGGTGCATGGCCTGTAGTTCTCCCGAGGCCTCCGCATGGGCCACGGAAAGCCACACACAGGCCGTTTTAACCAGCAGAGGCACTGTAGGCCGGTCCTTTGGTATTTCCAGGCTGGCCTCGCAGGCTGGATTTAAGCACCCTGCTGGCCAGATGCAGCCCAGGGACCTTGAGTTTGGCACCCCTGGTATAGACTATAGAGGTTCCTCCTAAGCAGGGGGTTGGACTAGAAGACCTTCAAGCTCCCTTCCAACTGTGTTATTCTGTAGTCTATTATTAATTTATAATCAACATTCTGACTTGAAATAGTATTTCCTGTATTGGACAAAATGACCAAACATTTAAAAACCCAACAATTCATATAGCATCACCCTTTGAGTATAATTTTAATAAATTGAAAATAATCAAGAAATGCTATAACTATTATGACAAACAGGATAATTCAAATATTCTTTTTTTTTTCCTGAATAAAAAGGCATGGACTTAAACTACACATAGCTTTAGTCATCTGTTGACAGCTGAAAATATCAAAAAGAGAGAAAAACACTTGAATGATTTTGTTTTCACTGTTTTCCCATGTGGATAAACCTAGCTTTAAAAGCCTAGAATTTTGGGAGTTTTATTTAAATATTGGTATTTTTTTCTAAATTTAATAAGAGTATACTATAGATTTTGACTCTAAACTTAAGATCATTACCATTGTCAAATGCTTCTGCATTATATAGAGTTCCCATGTGCTTTTTTGTAGAAATAGTAAAATAGTAATGTTATTGTGTACTTCTGAACTGTTGGGCTGTTGCTTCTGTTTTAAACCCTGACTTCCCGCAACCTCCATGTATATTTATTGCAGTACTTTAGATCAGGGGTCCCCAACCTCCGGTCCGTGGACCGGCACCGGTCAGCGGCATGCCAGAATGCAAACAAGAGAAGTTTTATCCACAGGATGCAGGCAGCCTTCAAAACCACGCCCCTTCCGGTCTGCGGAAAAACCTTTCTTCACGGAACCGGTCCCTGGTGCCCAAAAGGTTGGGGGCCACTGCTTTAGGTGATACTTAAAATGAGCATAATAATAGAATATTTCATAATGCGGATATAGTACTATGTATGCTTGATAGCAAACCCCAGTTAATTCAGTGGGAGTTGCTTCTCAATAATATATGCCAGATTAGCTGGTATTGGATGGATATTTTACATTCAGAAATCTTCCTAAATACTGGTTGGAAGTATGCAAATAATTTCCTGTTTCTTTCTGTTTCCAACTAAACTGGTCAGTGGTCGATGAAGACGGTAAGGCGTGTGTGCTGAATCTGTCTGCTGTAATTCGTAACAACAGCATGAAATAGCCTATCCATTTCATAGTTGTTCTGAGTCAGTTAGTCAGATTTGTGCCTACTTTTGTTTGCCATTTTGTCTCATAGTTCGTTTGTGCTTGACGTAACAAAATTTCCTGCTATTTTATAGATTGTATTATAGATCCGATAGGGGTAATTTTACCTATAATTCTTTTTATAAAGTAGAATGTGTTTATGCATTGTCATTATAAAATGAGAATAATTTTACTTACAGTTTACTTGAACTTTGTTATACAAATTACACACATATATGACTTGGGTCGGGGGCGGGATTGGTCTTTTGTGCTATAGAATTGTTCTGTTTGAATGACTGAATATTTACAATTATTTGGGGGGTGAAGTCCTATTTCTGCATCCAATTCCAGAATAAACAAGGTCTTTGTACATCTTCCAAAGGTGCTCTGAAATTTTTGGAGATAATAGACGAAGCACACAGGAGCATTTAGGGAAGAAAAGAGAAAAATTAGCTTTGCCTAAGAGGTCTTACATTTTCATAGGAGTTCATCCATTATTTAGAAGTAATATAAAGCTGGTTCATTGTGATAAAATAATCCATTATCCTTTTCATTAACATACAGTTAGAACTTTTTTTTTTGCAAAATTGACTTAAATCAGAAAAAAAATCCTTAACATATTTTCCAGTGCAGTTTCATATACTAGGCATGTTGTATTCAGGTTTGGTTAAAAAAAAATACCCATTTTCAGTTAATGTTCTACTTACATCATTTGAATTTTTTAAAAAAATGAATTTAAAATAACATTGAAATATATCAGGATAATTCTACTATCGATGTAGAATGCTATTATGGAAGTAGTGGAACTTGACGCTTGAGTATAATTTACTGTGATAAAAGAAAAAATATTAAGAGATGATCATTCTAACAAAAAAAATAATAGAACTGTTAAGACTTAATGTGCACAATCATAATACTGCACAATGTTTTAGTTAGTTTTGTGAATCAATAGGAAAATTGATAAGTTTCTGCTGTTGAATATAATAAGAAAGTTGCTGAAAAAGATTGACTAATAGAAAAAAAAGGAAGATGTAAATATAATTTTGGCTATCTTTCCAATTGATAAAGCATGAAACTTGATTTCCATAAAGAAGAAGAATCTATAGCCTCCTCCTGCTTTTGTCAAAATAAGGAAACCAACATTTTGTTGCAACCTCTGCCCCTTTTGGATGTGTGCAACATGACAATATACAAACAAAAAAGACAGGGCACGCAGCTCAGTACTGCAGGGACACATCTCTGCAGATATTCCTGACAGTAATATTAATTCTTTAACAGAAAATTACCCAGAATTCAGTAGAAATGATATATATGGTGGAAAAAGCTAGGAACTGCCTATTGTACTGAAGGCAGTTGTCTGAAATCAGTTTTGAAGGCAGCATTGTAAGAATTGCTGGGTTTTTCAGTCCCTTATCCCATTCAATTTCTTTGGGACCCTTATGGGATATTTTTTGTACATGGTAGTGATTCCTGTGTTATATTTAAAAATAGAAAAAATTAAGTGTAGAAAGTTCCCAAGAAAATCTGTTTATCTTAAATGGCATAAGAATACCACTAACAAATTGAATTGTAAAAATAGAATGTAAGATAATATGAAATCATTATGTTTTACCATATTGTATTTAGGAACTTCACTACACAGTCTCTCCTGAAGAATACTTGCAGTAAAACTATTGATCTAGAAAAATTAGTATAAAATTATGTAGAAAAGTGGATTTAGTTGCCTTGTTTAGCTCCTCTAAACAGATGGTAAACCATTAAAATAAAGGCTTGTAAATTCCTCTTTGGCTTGTAATTAACCAGTGAGTACTTTAGTTAATTTATTAAATTGTTAATCACATGTGTTCAAGTAAGTGGATTTGTGAATCTTTTCTTTGTAACAGCTTGTTTATAGCTTGGGATTTGCTAATTATGTTCCCAGTGTTGAATGTGACAGAAATTGCTTGCATTCTCTTCAATATATTAGGAGGATTTGGAAGGGAACTTTTTGTAGGTTATGAAAAAGGGTTTCTGTTTAAATTCAGTCTGCGCTCATGCCAAGTAATTTGATTTAGGGGTATGACGTAACTGTTCCCAAATCAAGCTCTCCAGAAAATGGAGCGAATTATGAAATTAATTTGTTATCATGCGCTATGGGTAACAAGAAATAGAGGCTATAAAAAGAAGTGGCTTTTGGTTTACAGATTTGGGGTGCTGCTGTTCTTGGTTTTGATCAATTTTGATCTAAACTTTGACATGTGAACTTCCCTGTTGGAGAAGATTTGAATGTGTTTCAGTGAAATTTGAAATGGGCTACTTACAAGTTGATTAATAGCTTTTCTTCACAAGAAATCTCTTTTGGGTTAAAGAAGGACCTTTACCACAGGTTTGTGAAGACCTATTTTCAACTAAGAGTTAAACAACCAAAATAGATACAGCCTTACTGTACACTGCTACTGCATTCACTCTTGTGCTGACCAGCTTTACCAATATTAGTTTTATTATAGTAAAATAATAAAGGGAAACCTTGTTGGCACAATACTACACTATATGCCCTACACTATAGTCACAGTTTAAAAAACTCCCAACATATACAAGTATTCCTATGTTAAATTAACATTTCAAATCTGAGTAAAACATATAAGTATTTATGTTGATATTGGCACAAATATAACCACTGAAAGATATCTTCATTTTGGGAAGCTGAAATATATCTTCATTTAGGGAAAGGAATATGCATTCCTGAGATTGGTTTCCAGTTTACTGTTGCTAATTATCAGGGTGCTAGGTTTATGTCTTTTCTAGAGAAATCTTTTTTAAAAATGGCAAAAACATTTATACGATTTGAAGAAAAACCAACGTATGTATTGTACATTAGCCTTTTTGAATGGTGCTACAGCAAATAGATTAATCATTTCTGGAGGTTTTTTTCTCCTTCAAATAATTTCCAAAATTGCAAGAAGATGCATTACAATTCTCTTATTAATATGTTAATTCCATTTCCTTTTCTATAACTTAAGTTTATTTTGTTCTGTTGTTTGTAATAAGGAAGAATATTGTTATACTCTACTTTAAGCACATTGGGAAAGAACGTAGTAATCCATTACATACTTTTGCAGATGGTTTGATTGTCACTTTGGAATAACAGAGAAGAGTAGGTCATCAAGATACCAAATTCAGTATTTGATACACATATTTTCTACATCTATAGTTTGCAGTATTATTGAAGTGGGCAAATTGTTTCACTCAACTGTATTATTCAGCAAAGTTGAACTATTGGGGCTTACTGCCAACAGAAGTATCAGTGGGAGAGCTGCCATTTCTAAGTGTTGTCTTTTCTTTGCTTTTAGGGTCCTTCCCAAGAAGATTTCAGTCACTTGCCACCAGAACAAAGGCGGAAAAAACTTCAGCAGCGGATTGATGAGCTTAACAGAGAATTGCAGAAAGAGAATGATCAAAAGTATTTACGTTATTCTGACTTGATGCTGATTTTATTTTGCTGTACCTAGGAATTTGAAACTCGTTCACTTCAAGCATCCGTTTGATTTTATTTATCATAAATCCTCCTAAGCATTTGGAATTTTGGATTCTTCAGTTGCGATCTATGTGATTCACATTTATGGGCTTTGAATGATATCAGTCCACCATTATGTAGCACTAAAACTCAACTTTTATTCCCCAAAAGATGGTGGAACTCTCATCTTTCACTTTGTGAACAGTTATCTCCCTCTGCTTGTGATGAAATGGGAGTTTATTGTTTGAATAGAATGCAAAGAAAGAATTAATTGATAACCAGCATCTAAATATTTAAAGAAACATAGCAAAAAGGAAGATAACAGTAGTGACAGGAAGTTGACAATTATAGGGTGTAAAAATAGGGAAAGAAAAATGAGATAATTAGTATCTAGAAAAAAAATTACAGGTAGTTCTTGATTTACAATCACAATTGGGACCGGAAATCCAGTGTAAGCAATTGAAGTTGTAAGTCAAGGCACCTGTGTGACCAGACTTATTTTACTGACATTTTTTTTTTTTGCAATGGTTGTTAAGCAAATCACACAGTCACTAAGCTAATGGTGTAGTCATTAAGCAAACCCATTCTTCCTAATGGGTATTTTTTGCTGGAAACAAAATGTGGTCATTGACCGGGATGCAGCAGTCAATTGTAAATGGGGGGGGGGGCACATTTTACAATGGCCGGGAAGTGATTTACAAGCCATAAAATACCCGTTTTAAAGCCATTGTAATGTCTAATCCTCATAAATCAAGGACTACCTGTATGAATAATCCTTGTGAAAATGGTAATAAGTGTCAGTGTGCTTCTGAAAAAAAAAAAACAGTTCATGGCCTCTATTATCTGTTCATACAGTGTTATTGTTAGACAAAACCTAAATTGTTCATAATCCAACATTTGTCTGAGTAAATGAGACAAAATATAATCTCATTCACTACTACAGTTCCAGGAAAGAACTGTTAAGAGAGGACGTTTATATAAAATAAAATCTTATTATAAAAGAATTCTATGCTTATCATCTTGGGATGATAACTGAAATATTTTAAAATATTTTAAAAGAGCCTTGGTGGCTCAGCAGACTACAGTGCTGTTAAAGTAGCACCAGCTGCCTGCAATTACTGCAAGTTCAAATCTCCCCAGGCTCAAGGTTGACTCAGCCTTCCATCCTTTCGAGGTAGGTAAAATGAGGACCCGGATTGTGGGGGCAATAAGCTGACTTTGTATAAAAAGAACACCGCTTGGGGGGGCCGAAAGCCCTACTAAGCAGGTATATACAAAAGTATGAAGGCTATTGCTTAACGCATTGTAAGTTGCCCTGAGTCTCCGGAGAAGGGCAGCATATAAATCGAACCAATAAATAAATAAATAAATAAAATAATCTCACCCAAAGCAAACTCAGAAAAAAAAATCAATCCCAGATTTTGCTTCTTAACAAATAAACTTGGTTCTACCATATGAATAAATAAATAAATAACTTTATTGTCATTGTACGTGTATACACAGTATACCCATACAACGAAATTCACTTAACACCCAAAGACCAGGTCCAACACACATAACAATCTCCAAACACACTCCTACCCACCATAATTCCCCACCCTAAACCACCCAAACATCCACACAACAGACCAAGTAATGCTGTCCAACAGCTCACTAATGGTGGCCCTTTAGTTCATTGTTGAGTGCAATTATAGTTTTGGGATTAAAACTATTCAGAAAACGTGCTGTCCGAGTTTTAATTGTTCTGTATCTTCTGCCAGAAGGCAACAGTCCAAAAAGATATGGCATGCCCATATGTACAAATCACAAAAACTGAAGTCAGCTGTGGGTTTTCTATCTATAAATTCAGATATTTTACTCTATATTTGTTTGGTTCTGTTAGGGTTGAATGCAACTTTTGTTTTTGAGTATTGAGGAAGTTAGCAGATGCTATGCACCACATAAAAGAGCAGTTGTGATACAGGGGACAGCTTCCTGCTAACATCTGTGAAGCATTGGAAGACCCAACCTATTTCTGTGAATTCACAGGTTAATAAATTGAAGAATCACAAGTACAGATAAGAAGCAATAGCACTTTTATATACCGCTTCATAGAGTCTTACAGCCCTCTCTTAAGCAGTTTACAGAGTCAGCATATTGGCCCCAACAATCTGCGTCCTTATTTTACTGACTTCGGAAGGGTTGAAGGCTGACAGTCAACCTTGAGCCGCTCAGAATTGAACTCCTGGAGTGCAGTGAGTTAGCCCTGCAGTACTGCCTTCTAACCACTGCACCACCATGGCTCTTGGTAGCCAGTTCATAGTTCCTCTGGCTTTGATTTACACTCAGTTCTCTTTCTCCCCAAAAGATGATAAACAGAGGCAGGATGTTGAACATCATTTGATGAACTCCTGACAATTGCATTTTTTCTATAGAGATGCCCTCATCAAAATGAAAGATGTGTATGAGAAAAATCCACAGATGGGTGATCCAGGAAGTCTTCAGCCAAAATTAATGGAAACTATGAACAACATGGACCGTCTGCGAATGGAAATCCACAAGAATGAGGTAAAAATCTGTTCTTTGGATAGTTTTTAGAGTAGGAGTAGTACAACTTTTCAGACTCTTAACCAAGGTTAAGTTCCAAAGAGTCATTCAAATCAAAGTAGGCAAAGTCATCTTTGCTGCAGCATTTCAGCCCATTCACAATAGCCTCCATTTCTATGCCAGCTAGATCTAATATTCAGTTGAATGCAGCAACAGTAATTGATAATAATTATATGGATGGTTTTGTCTGCAGGATACCTAAAAATATTCAAGGAATCAGACAGTGTGGTGGCTCAGCAGTTAAGATGCTGGGCTTGCCACCTGGAAAGCCAGCAGCCCAGGTTTGAGACCCGAGCTCCAGTTCATTAAAGACACTTTAGGAAAAAAAAAACTTGCAGAGCCCTGTGGCTTTAAAAAAACCTTGCAGAGCCTCGGCACTTTAGAAAAAAAAAACTTGCAAGACTTTAGGGAAAAAAACTAGCAGAGCCATGAGTTTTTTTAGAGTGGCGCAGCCCAAAGCTCAGAGGCAATGGGGGGTGGGGTGTCAAAATAGGAAGCCCCCGCCTGCTGCTGCCTCGCCACCCCTTCCCCCGCTGCAGCCAAATTGCTGGTTCAGCATTCAGGTCAGAGCCAACCTACCGCCACCACCCTCTTAACAGCCCACTTGCTCATCCGGCTCTCCATTCAGTCCCTCAGCGAGTTATCCCTGCAGTGACTTTCCAGTGTTGAGATGTCCTGTGAAGAAATGGCGGTATTGAATTAGCAAAGGAGAGTTAGAAGTGGCGAGAAGGCCACCCCCTGCTGGCCGCCCTGAGCTAGCGGCGTCGAGTCCTCCCATTCCGCCACAAGGTAGGGTGAGCTCCTGTCCTTGCCCCAGCTCCTGCCAACCTAGCAGTTTGAAAGCATACAAAATACAATTAGATAAATGTCACTTCAGTGGGAAGGTAACCGCTCCGTGACATCATGCTGGCCACATGATTGCAGAAATGTCTTCAGACAGCACTGGCTCAGTGGTCTTGAAACGGAAATGAGCACCTCCCCTTATAGTCCGCAACAACTAGCAGAGTAAAATTCACAGGGACTCCTTTACCTTTATACTGAATCAAGGAGTCTGCGACTTTTCTGTACTTAATAGAATATTTGGAGTACTTCAGTTAGAAAAATATTTTGGTAGATACAGTTTTATTATATTATTTATTTAAATCTGCCCCAGTTGAAAAGAGGGAATTTATATTGGGTGAGCTTAATTCTTAAATGAAATTGGAAGTTTAGTAAACAGACAAAGACGGTCACAAAGTATAATTTTAGTAGCTGTGGCATTTCAAACGGTGATGAATTTAACTGTGTCTGGATATTTATAGAGTTCATAAGTGGTGGTTTCATGATAGCTGAACAAGGAATTGATTTTGGACTAAATTTTTATTTCCTTTGACCATACATACATGATTGTGTATCCACAACACAGGCCAAGCACTCCTTCTCAATTCTCTATCTCCCTTTAGTGCTTTTTAAATGTTCCTTGGCATTTTTCCCCCCTATCACTCCCAAGTTACATTCATCTGTTTTCTCCTGGACAGGAAGAAATATTTCCAAATAATTACTTGCCAATCAGTAAGCCTTTAACGCCCATATGGAACCAAGTGGATAACTGGAACCATAATGTTGGAAGCTGTCATTTTGGACTGCAGTAGACCAGTGTCCCTTTAAAGAAAAAACTTTAAAACATCTAAAAGTGCATACATATGTACAAGAAATAAAACTTATGGTTCCAGAAGTATCCTAGACACCTGAACAGAATTTTTATATTTCATCCTGGCATAGGTAACGGGTTTCTCTCTCTCTCTTCAGGCATGGCTTTCTGAAGTTGAAGGTAAAGTAGCAACAAGAGGAGACCGAAGGCATAGCAGTGATATCAACCATCTCGTAACCCAAGGAAGAGAAAGGTCACTATATTACACTTTTTTTTTTTTTTTGCCTGATGTACCAGTAGATTGATGGGGATGCAATGGCTCAGTGGCTAAGATGCTGAGCTGGTCGATAGAAAAGTCAGCAGTTCAGCGGTTCGAATCCCTAGTGCCACGTAACGGGGTGAGCTCCCGTTACTTGTCCCAGCTTCTGCCAACCTAGCAGTTCGAAAGCACGTAAAAAAAATGCAAGTAGAAAAATAGGGGCCACCTTTGGTGGAAAGGTAACAGCGTTCCGTGCGCCTTTGGCGTTTAGTCATGCCGGCCACATGACCACGGAGACGTCTTCGGACAGCACTGATTCTTCGACTTTGAAACAGAGATGAGCACCATCCCTAGAGTCAGGAACAACTAGCATATATGTGCGAGGGGAATCTTTACCTTTACCAGTAGATTGTAAAGCCAGATTTCTGAACAAGTAAATCTAGTGACTGTAATTTATACACCATACCTAAAATATAGAGCAAGACAAATCCTCAGAAAGTTGTGCTTTGCAATAGCAAGAACATACAATATATAAAACACCTCTCTTCCGACATACAATAACAACCAAGAATAGCCAGACATACTTAGAAACTACAGCTGACTTAATCATTGGAAGAGAGGTGCACCAAATATTTTCCTTGGATTGCAAAGCATCTCCTTACACAGGTGTGCCAGAAGTCTGCCTTCTCTGTAGCAGCACCTGACTTCTGGAATAAGGTTTCCCCTCATTCAGATTCCACACACATACACACCTCTGAAGATCTGGCTTCTCATCCAGTCCTTTTGACAAGGCAGAATGAGAACTCTTGCCATTTTACTAAAATATATAAAGTCTGTGTGTATGTGTGTGTAAAGAAATATAAAAAGATTTTTTTCACAAGATCTTTTTGTGTCTCATCATCTTGGAAAAGCTTTGCATTAAATCTTCATCCTACAAGAAGTTTTATTTACATAGTTTCAGTTTTATTGAACTTTCTGATTGGAAAAGGAAATACCCACAGCTTCAAAGTTTTTTTTTCTTTTAACATCTTTTCTGTTAAGTGCTGATATGTATGTTTAGAAATTTTAAACTTCAGTATTTCTTTTATAATATAATTGCATTTTCGTGGATTGATTTCTTTCATATATTATTTGAAATTGCTGTAATTGTTTAAAAAAGCGAAACATTCATACAATAGACAAAACAACAAACAATAGATGAATTTAGAAAGGGTGTGTGTGCATGTGTGTGTTCATAACAAGTGTTCACAAAGCCAGAGGAATGCGAAGGTCCCCCCTGCAAAAATGCCTTTAGCATCATACTTCAAATGATTTAACCAACTTCATATAGTTCTCCTTTTCCCATAGAAAAGCTGTACCATTCATCAATCAGTTTTATGTGCTTAGCTAACTGCTAAGGAATGAATATGCTTCTCTTCGTTACATTACATTGCAGTTGAAGTGTAACAAGATTGAAACTGTGTGAGTTAAGAGTTGTTTATACAGGCAAAGCAGGCTGAAAAAGTAAAACACACTCCTACACATTCTGCTCTTTTTAGGCAGTCAGTAGAAATTTTTTTAAAAAAATTTAGGTAAACAAAATATTTCATTTTCTATTTTAAGTAAAGCGTGGATTAAAAATTATGGACTGTTTCACTTTGAAATTTTAAACAAGGGTATGTATGGTTATTTTTTTCCCCTACCGTTATAACCATGTGTGGTGGAGAAAGTCTGAAGATGTAACAGGAGACAGACAGGATTTTATTCCAGTAGACTGAGCTCATTTAAAGCCCCAGTATTATTGCTTTGTATGTTCATATGCTGGACAGATGGAATCAAAGCGCTTTTGCTTTTAAAAGCCATTGTATGTTCTGTCTCCAGCAACGTTCATCCCCTGCCTGTATTTTTCAGTAACATTTTACAGATAGAATCATAGAATTCTTTACTGGCCAAGTGTGATTGGAGACACAAGGAACTTGTTTCTGGTGCATTTATTTATTTATTTATTTTATTCAATTTGTATCCCGCCCTTCTCCTAGTGGACTCAGGGCGGTGCACAGCCAAAACAAAAACACATACCAATACAAAATTTAAATTTTTTAAAAGAATTATATGACTTTGGCCCAAAATTTAAAACATTCAAACTAAAACCCATTGACAATTTAAAAGGCAAAAAAAAAAAGGGGGGGGGGTCACGCCAGCCCTGCTTGATGGAAAAAAAAAGTTTTTAGGACACGGCGAAAGACCCAGAGATCCGATATCCTTTATATCTCCGGGGGCAAATCGTTCCAGAGGGCAGGAGCTGCCACAGAGAAGGCCCTCCCCCTGGGGGTCGCCAGCCGACATTGCCTGGCTGACGGCACCCTGAGGAGTCCCTCTCTGTGGGAGCGTACTGGTCGGTGGGAGGCTATCGGCGGCAGAAGGCGGTCCCGCAAATACCCAGGTCCTATGCCATGGAGCGCTTTAAAGGTGGTGACCAACACCTTGAAGCGCACCCAGAAGACCACTGGAAGCCAAGCATAAACTCACAGTGTACATATAAACAGCAAATAATAGGTCATAGATCATAATAAACAACAACTGATAAATCATAAATCAAACCAATAGGAGAAAGTAGTAGGAAAGATGAGAGGGTGAGAAAAGATGAGAAATTAGACAGTGCTGTGGGAAATAGGTGTTCAGCAGAGTGATGGCACGGGGGAAAAACTGCCTTCAGTTTTGGCATGCAATGCCCTGTAGCAGCATCCTGAGGGGAGAAGTTGAAATTGATCATGTCCAGGATGTGAGGAGTCTATAGATATTTTCTCAGCCCTCTTTCTGGTTTGTGCAGTACTCAGGTCCATAATAGGATGGGTTTATGCTTACTTCACAAAGGTTCACGATTTGCAATAAAATCTGAACACGTTTGAGATTCTGTTTTAACTGATGAAAAACTATGCAAATTTGGTTAGAGAAATGCAAAGGTGCTTTCTGTTATCTATTACATTTTAGTCCGGAGGGGAGCTACACAGATGATGCCAACCAAGAAGTTCGGAGCCCACCCCAGCAGCATGGCCCCCATAATGAATTTGATGACGAGTTTGAAGATGATGATCCTTTGCCAGCTATAGGACATTGTAAAGCTATATATCCATTTGATGGTAAGGTTAATTTGACTTAAGCCTACATGTAGAATAAATGGAAGTGACCTTGAATCAATCCAGAATATTTTGAATTTTCATTGTTCAACAAAACACGATTTGTAGTGTTAAAGAGCGTTACACTATAAGAACAATGGGAACTCAAAGTGTTTAATTTACCACAAAAGTAGGGCTAGTCTCTGTTGAATGCTCTACATAACCATGTTGCAGAAATACTGGCTTCTCTGGTTGTTGGCTGGGGGCTTCTTCCTAATGCATAGTACACTCGGTAAGGTTGTATTTGTATTTCAACCAACTTGAAAAACTCAACAAACTCAATTTTTGAATTTGGCAACATGAAAGCTCAGCAGCATAGCATTATTAGCTGTAATTAGCATGCATAAGGCATGCTTTTACATTTGACAGCCTGTCTAAGGAAGAAGTATCCAAGTAAATGCTATAGTAGAATTCTTAAATCTCTCCCTATCAAAGACATATCACACAGATAGCAATCTTTTCTTAATGAGCAATCAGTCACCAGCCAGTTGCAGGACATTGGAACTCTCAAAGAATTTAATTTAAGCTTGGTATAGGTGCACATTCCTCTATGCGTTTGTGTACACACACACCAACACAACATTGTGTGTGCATCTTTGTATGCAGTTACACACACACACACACACACACACCCCGATATCTAAATACAATTGTATGTAAATTTTTATAATGGCATCTGGTTTAAGTTCTGGGAAATACATGCAGTTACGTGTTTCTGTTTAATGGCAATAGTACTTATGCATTATAACAAAATAAATATGTTAGATTAGAAAAGCAGTCGTTGGCAAGGGTTCAACTTTGCAACAAGAGACCAGGTTTTCGTCTGTTGGCTTACATTTGAAACATATGTTCCACTGCAGAGAACTGATGATCCCCACTTCCCAGAATGAAAAATGAGGGCTGAGAAAGAGACTAGCTTTAAATCCTCCAAGGGAACAAGAAACCCTAACCACTACCCTTGTTTTCCTAGGTCACAATGAAGGTACCCTTGCCATGAAAGAGGGGGAGGTTTTGTATATTATAGAGGAAGATAAAGGAGATGGATGGACAAGAGCTCGGAGGCAGAATGGAGAAGAAGGATATGTGCCAACTACCTACATAGATGTAACACTAGAAAAAAACAGTAAAGGTGCAGTAACCTATATCTAATCTCCAGTCCATCATCTTGTCCGTGAACATTGCTTAATGAATACTGAAGCACGTAATTGGATGGAAAAAGTCCAAAACCGTTTAGGAGTCCTTTCAATATGTGATTGACCACAGGAGCCCAAACTAAGAGTTCAGTTTTGAAACTGGAAAATGTCTGCGTATAAATAACTCAGATTGTTCTCGGTGCCATCTTTGCTTAATGTACTTGTACATCTTCTTTTTCAGTACACGGTCAGGCCATATTTTATTGGTTTTCATTGTTTTAATGTTATTTTTGTAAAGCTTGTTTCTTCCTTTTAAAAGAGCGTCATTTTAGAACAAATTGTTTCATGAGGGTATCCCATCTCTGGGCAATCGATTATTCTTCTTGAACCAGAGCTTGTTCCAGTGTCCAAGCAATATCTAAACCTAATTAAATGAAAATGAAGATCGGCTTTTAACTTTTATTTTCTGAACACAACTCCTCTTCTCATTGCCCTCTGCCCGTTGATACCCTGCACACATTTTGTACAGTCTGCAGGCTAATACAATGTAAAGTTATGCAGAAATAAAGGAAAACTTTGACTTGCATGCCATTGCCTGCATGTAATGGAACCTAGGGAGTTGCGATATAGGCTTACAAACATTCCTATTCTGTAAGTACTTTTGCAGCTTTTCCTTTCAAAATCAAATCTGAGATTCTTAAAAATGCTACATGCAAAAGATTGCAAGGGCTATGGTGGCCGCATTGCTTGCTGATCGGCTCATTTTTTGCTCTTTCTCGTATTGGGGAGAATTTGTATGTTTCTGTATACACAACTGAAGAGTCCCAGCTTCTCATGCCAACACTTGACACATTTCTCTTGTTAATTGTCTTGTTCAAAAAGCGCAGAATAGTTACAACTGCTTCTTGCAGGTCTCTCTTTCTTGGTTCCATTCATCCCAATAGAAAGTTCCCATAGGAATAAATGCAGATCAGTTCCTTTTGTTAAAAAATGAACAGATAAGGTCTTTGTACGTGGAGAAGTTTTCATGCCGGCATCGGGTTATTTTATGAGGATGTTAATCTGTGGTATCAAATGATTAGAATCGGAGTGTTCTAACTTGCATTACTTGGGCTTTCATACTTGTACATTTTCACTTGGATGCTAGGAACCATTTGGAAGTTAAATTGCACTAATTTTCTACTGAGTGAAGGTCTTACCTAGAAAGTGTGACATGGAGAACTCTTGCAAAGGATCTGAGCCATTTTATCTAGTGTAATCGTAATAATCTGAGATGGATGTTTGTAAAGAAAAAAAAAATGACTGTGTTTCTCTTTTTTTGAACGGCCCCTGGTAATTCTGTTCTGTTCTTCTTTTCCTCTCGGATTGCAGGTTCCTGAAGCGGGTATCTGAGAAAATGGGCGAGATGTTGAAGGAGGTTACATGCAGCTGCTTTTTTGGGGGAGGGTGTTAGGCCCAGCAAGATGGGGGAAAGCCAGTTGCATGAAAGCATGTAGGCATATGTTTCTCACTAACAATGTTAGCATTTCTCTTGTGTGTTCAAAATTGTGGTAAGCTAAAGCTCCATTCCAACAGAACCAAACACCCCAGTTTGAAAACATATCCTCTCCATAGTTTGAAGTTCTGAAATGCTAGCTGTTTACCACTTGCATTTTATATTGGCTGTTTCAGCTGCTTCCTTTTTCCATATCCATTTTTAAAATCAGCATTCAGTCGAGATCTTGTCATTGACAGTCTTCTGCCTGTGCCACTTCCATGCTCGCCCTAACCTTTTCCTGCATGTCTAGATAACGCGTCAGGCATGTTCGCCTAATGTTTTGTACTTCCATAGCTCTTCCTCGTCTCTTGCATTTGTAGCAACCTCCAGCACTAAAGTTTTTATTTCCCTACCCGTTTATGTCGCTGTAATTTGTTTGTTTGTTTTATCTTCTTCATTGTGACCATTCCAGTTCTTTGGCGCTACACCGGCTGTGAAAGTAACATTCATTCTGCTTTGGGAATGGAATACATCTCAGCACCAGAGGCCATTCCAGCCTATCCTCATCACCTCAATACTTTCTCATGAGCACTGAAATCCTAGGATAATAAAGAGCACAGATTTGCCGCTGTAAGACAACCAACTCTTTTCAGAAATCAAGTGCTTGTCATTCAGATGCTGCCTTAAACTCTCGAGTGCCTAAATCTGTTGATTGCCAACAATACCACTTCAGTATCCCGCCAAGGGCTATTGGGTCTCAGCTCTGTATGACCTCCTGAATCTTTCTACAGTTCTGCAGCTGTTGGTAGCCAATGGTAGATGTTTTCTCGATCTCTACCATTCCACAACACAAGGTGCATTGTGAACGTGACACATTGAAAAACAAAAGTATATGTATCGATTTTGTTTTACGTCCAATGAATGTTTTTAATAGGATTTTTATGGAGCCTTTTTTTAATTGCCTATTTTTTTGAGTTGGGGATGGGAGAAGACACCAGTTTTTAAATGAACTGCAGTGCTCGTCTATTTCCAAGTATGCTTTATTGTAAGGACCAGTTAAACATTGGAGTGATACTTTGTAATGATCTATGTGCACTTTTATTTGTAAACATTGCGATTTGGACACATTTATACATGTAAATATAGTTGTCTGCAGCACCCCGTCATTGCTCATGTTATTTGTCTGCCATTTGTGAATTATGTTAATGAAAACATCGAATCTAAGCAAAATAGGGTAATCTTAGTAGAGGGGAGGGGAGGGGAGGGGCAAAGGAACAGTTAAATTAAGCTTCATAAACCAGCTTTCTGCTGTTTGTGGTAATATTTAAAATCCTGCTTTTCTAAAGGTGGGAATCAAAGCAATATTTGAACACAGCAATGCTGGATTCCTTTAGAACTTTTTTCAGTGTTACTAGCAGTTGTACTATCAGTAAAACTAAATCTGTGTGACTCTTGTGTGGAAATTTCTTCCTTTTTACTATTAAGTGTGCCACTATTACACAGATGATTTAGTGTATTTACATTGAGGGTGATAAAACACTAAAGGTTAGAGTTTTGGGATATCGTAAACAGGGTTATTTATAATAATGTGACCGTATGCCATTACTGACCAAACTACATCGAATAGTTGTTCGTTTAATGCTGGCTTTTTATTTTAAAGTTCCAAATGAAAGACAATGACTAGGTTCTCACTCTTCCAGCCAAGAACCCTATGGATTTAGCTTAACAGCCAGTTTGAGCTGCTTTTAACACTTCTAGTAAAGGACTAATAGTTCTTTTGTGCTACTGTTTTTGTAAGGCAGGATTTGTTTCCTCAGGAGGATCTTTTCCTTCCTGTGGTATAAAGCGACCTTTATGAGGGTAGTTAAATGTAAAGGGGAGGAAAAAAATCTTTGTACTTGCACAGTTGGCTAAAATTATTTTGAAATGTTGAGAATTAATTGTCTGAGTCATAACTTTTCAGTAATTTTTAATCTTTCGTGCACGTGTTGATTTTTTAAATGTTTAAATGCTTTGTTAAATAATAGTCGTTCTCTTCAAAATATTTTCATGGAATTAAACAATCTTTTCATGGCCCTGATCATTTCTTTGTCTTCTGTTGCAGGCAAGTCAATAGGCGGCTTTTGTCTTGTTTAATTTGTCATAAATATGCTCGGGTGGTGAAAGGAAGCAAAAGTTGTACCAGGAAGACAAATCTCCCATGTTTTCCTCACTGTTAGTCCTCCAATCCAGAATTATTCCTTGGGATTACTTAAATTCTTTACAAGGTTTCTCAGGTGACTTTCAGTTCACTTTATACTCCATTTAATTTGCCAAAGATGCAGACAAATCCAGATTGGGATTACTCTAAAGCTTTACTAATTACACAAACACTTAGAAATGGCAGCACTTTTGGCATGTTTAAACAACGATGCAACAAAAAATTGTATTTATATTTGGCCTCCGTAAAAAAATAAGGAGCACAGAATTCCCTGCACAATGCAAATGCCTGCCAGAGAAAAGTTGGAGAAGAGTCTGAAACAATACACTTCAGTGCGGCTTCTGGTAGAACTGCACACATGCAAACAGAAGCTTTTGGGAGGATTCCAAAATTCCTAGAGATATATATTTTTTTTTGTCCTGACCTACATAGTTATAGCATGGTGGGTCTCGGATTTCAGGACTACTATGAAAGGGAAATGATTCTTCCCATTTTCTTATCCTTCTTTTTTTCCCTCTCTGTTTTCTCTTGCCTTCCTAATTCCAGCTGGATTGTTTGTGTTCAGCTCATAAATTTTCAAAAAAAAAAAAAAAAAAAGCATTGTCCTAAAATTTGTGTATTCATTTGAATTCTGAAACTGTAGGTTAAGGTGCTGATGGAAAAGTCTCTGTTTGGAACTGATAATGCAAGTATCCAGCCATAGATTTCAAAAGCAGTCCTAAAAGGTCTGCTATCGGTCTGCCTTACTAGCTTATTAAAATAAAAGCTTCACATTTTCCAGTTGACTGGACAAGCCATGGTGGATTTAAATGCCTTTTATTAAGTTTGCTTGTTTCCTCTGTCTTGGAATTCATGTCATGCTCACCATGACTTCCAGAGTACAAAGAGGAAGATAGATGTCTTCTTTTTCCCTAAGTCATTGAGGGATATTTTGATTAGGAGGAGAGAGGAAAAAAGAGATGATATATTATTCTTCCCTCAGCGTATGACTTTAAATGGGTTAGTCAGTAAATTGTATTACTGGTTAAAACAGCAAATATCTGTATAATTAGAACAACAAAAAAGATTTTTTAAAATTATTATTTCCAACATGAAAGGTAAATCCTAAAAAAAAGCTAATTTAGCTCACAGTGAACAGTAAGATAAAAGTTTGGTAGTGCAGCACTACCACAATTTTGCAATTTGGTGAAATTTATAAACTACCTTAACAGTGTGAATGCAGACATTGATATAGTTAATACGTTAAGTCCCCAAACAAGCTTTGCAAGTTGACACATTTTGTGTTTCATTGACAAAATAAAATAAGGCATAAAAAATAAAGTAAGGCGTAAAATATTTAAAGTGTTACTCTTTAATTCACAGCTATTATAAAATTTTCCATATCTATTTAAGGGATATCATACAACTGATACCGCCTAAAAAGCCATTTCTTTAACTTCTATTTATATTTACAAAACAGACTGTTAATAATATTATTGAATATAAGTCCTAAAATGATCACTTTTTTAGAGTGGACTGGAGATGTCCATGAAAGGTAACAATCATAACAAATAAATAATCCTTTATAAATCACAAATCATTATTAGCAACTCATAAATAAATGTACATAAATACAGTTTAAATTCTGCTTGATATCAGAGGAACTTTACAAAAACTTTTTGACAGTATAACCACGTTTTCCATACCCCATCTAGGGTTACGGCAGTTTCTTCAGAATAAGAGTAATAATAATCCATGAAGCAGTGTCCTGATTCTCAATTGGGTATAGATGCAGTGTTTGCTATATGATTTTTGATTGGCCTGAAATTTGTTTTTTTGGGGGGGAGGGATTGGGGAAATAACAGGTTTTTTTTTTAAAAAAAAATCGCACTAGCAGCATAGAAGGGAGTTGGCAGGCAGCAAATACTCCCAAGGAAGTATTTTGTTTAAAGGGGTTTTTTTTGGCAGTCTTTGCCCTAGGGAATTGAGAAATAAGCAACATAAATTACAGCTTTCCTTTTAAAAAAAATGTTTTCTTGGTAAGTATACCAATTTCTTTTTAGCCGAGAGTCCATCAGGCATTTCTATGTTCAATCTGCTTGGTAAGAGGAGGTTCTAATTTTCGGGAAAGTGCAGTTAAAATTTGATTGAATTTTTCGTATCTTTCATTTTGGTTGACCTGTGCTCCTTTGCTGCCCCAGAGCAATCTCATCTGAAATTCTGTTTTGAAGATTTCGTTCATTGCGTCATCTGGCTGAAAACCTGGTGAAGAAAATGGAAATGTACAAATGTTACCTATAAAATATAGTCTTTGGTACCAGGTGCTGCATGTGCTTAAGCCAGCTGCATGTCACCTTTGACTGCAGCACATGATTTGAGGTTGCTGTAGGTTCTCCCTGGAGAAAACATGACAATATAATGGGCAAAGTACCATATTTTTCGGACTATAAGATGCTCCGGACTATAAGATGCACCTAGATTTAGAGGATGAAAACAAGAAAAAAAATAGTTTTTGGGCTCCGCGCATTCAGTTTTCGCCCTTTCTGGCCCCCTGAAACACTTTGCAGGCCAAAAACAGACCGGTTTTTGGCTTCCTGAACCCTCCGTGCATCCCATTTTGCCAAAAACGCACCTGTTTTTGGCCTGCAGAGTGCTTCTGGGGGCCAGGGAGGGTGAAAACCAGATACACGGAGGGTTCGGGAGGCCAAAAAGGGGATGTGCGGAGCACTGCAGAGTGCTTCTGGGAGCCAGGGAGGGTGAAAACATGATGCATGGAGGATTCAGGAGTCCAAAAATAGACCCGTATTCAGTCTATAAGACGCACTGAAATTTTCACCCACTTTTAAAGGGGGGGGGGGTGCATCTTATACGCCGAAAAATACGGTAGTTGATCTAAATCGGGTTACCAACGATTCGCACCGGTTCTATAGAACTGGTAGTAAAACCGGCGGGAGGCTCCGCCCACTGACCCCGACATCATCAAAATGCTTCTGCGCATGCGCAGAAGAGCGCGTACGCGAGCAAAGCAAGCACGCATGGCCCCATTACGAACCGGTAGTAAAGGTAAGTAGAACCCACCCCTGCCATACCCCTAGAATGCTTCTGATATACAGTATTCTCGCACCCGTTACAAAAGTAAATAATTATATGCATATATAGTTATATATATATATATATATATACACTATAATTTTTGAAACGTCTAAACCCAAGTTTTCGCATCCCCTGGAATATCGTCTCACACATCCAGGGGGTGTGAGCACCCCTGTTGGGAACCTCTGATCCAGGGCCGGATTTTCCTATAGGCTAACTAGGCTTCAGCCTAGGGTCTCAAAATCAAGAGGGGTTTACATTCAAATTGTTAGCAAAATTAAAATTACACTTTCACTATAGGTGAAAGGGCCTCATAAGTGGAATAGCCTAGGGCCTCTTTTCATCTAAATCCAGCCCTGCTCTGATCTAAATCATCTCCCAATTGCAAGATTCTTTTCCCCCCACGTGGAATGAATATGGCATTTGAAATACACATGCAGAGAATATATACAACAAATAATGGCTACACAGCAATAATTCTTAATTTGGGCAGCTCGAAGATGTGTGGACTTCAACTCCCAGAATTCTCCAGCCATCTTGTCTGGGGAATTCTGGGAGTTAAAAATCCACATATCTTCGAACTGCCAAAATTAAGAAATGCTGTAATAGAATCTCACTGAGTTAGATAACTGATTCTTCTACATGGCTACATCTCTGCCTCCGAGGACAAAATGAACAACCAAACGAAGCCCTGGCTTTACTCTTTTTTAAAAAATAAACATTCCAGCCCGTTTTTATCATCTTAGAAACAGCTTTTCTCCAAAGGTAGCTAAGAATGCGTTCTAAAGTTACTAAATGAGTCATGCAAAGTCCCTAGGAAGGCCACATATTTCCTCACAAGCACAATTGAAAGTCAGTCCAATCCCAGCTCTTCCTGTTTACAGTTCAGGGAATGAGAAGGGACATGGGTCAACTCAGGTAAAGCTGCCTTCTTTAAATTACCAGCAACATAATCAGCTGTCAGGCACATAAATAAGGGTGGAAACAACCTTGTTGTCTAAGACTGCATTTACACAGCCCTGGGCTTGATTGTCTCCTGTGTCTCTTTTTTATGAGCTTAACTACTAAAAGCCTTACAGCTGTATCAAGAGGTCTATTATCTTTTTTCCCCTACCTGTAAGGATCCTTTCTGCATTTGCGCTATACTGTTCAGCGTTTTGTGCTATCAAACGAGCTGTTGCCAAATGTTTCAGCATGATATCACAGCTTTGGTCAGTGTTTTCCCACACATCCATTCCCTCAAAGACCACAGTCTGACGTTCTAGCAGGGTAACCAGAGGCATCAGCAACGGCACAGTGACGACGTTTTGCGACACGCAAGTGATCTCTGAAAACGAAGAAATGAAAAAGCACCGGATGTTAGCACTATGACTATGACAAATTGATCTACTAACTAGACCAGGGGTGTCAAACTCACGTCGTCATGGTGGCGTCACGTGACGTATCGGGACTTTCAACCCCCCTTTCGCTAAACTGGGCGTGGGCAGCGCGTGGCGCATCTGGCCTGCGGTCCAGGAGTTTGACAGCCCTGAAGTCTAGTTTCTGCAACTTTAGATACCAAGTGAAGATTCCCATAGGTTTTTATGGAAATGCAGTAACACAACCTTCTGTTACTACAGGCAAGTCTCAACAACTGTTCATTTAACAATGGTTTAAAGTTACAATGGCCTTGGAAAAAATGACCCATCCTCAAAGTTACAACCATCACACCAGGCATGAAGTCACGTGATTGCAATTTGACCTCTTGGCAACCAGTTTGTATTTACGATGGCTGCTGCATCTCTTGGCCGCCTGATTGCCACT